TGGCCTTAGGCTTGCTTACTTTGCTTCTCCAGGGAAAGAACAGTGTGTATACATTCAAGGAATGGGGGGGGGGGCCAATAGTGTGTCGTCGGTAAGACACGAGCAACGTCTTAATGTGGAAAACTGTACTTATAAAGTTCAACTCGTACGCCGATTGCAATAATATTCAAGTATGGTAAGTATACATTTGGGCAACCACCGGACTCCATAAGTCCATGTAAGGTAAGTGTATTATAAACCAAATACCTAATTTTCAGTAATTTTTTGCGCGCGTGCGTTGTTTTGTATCTTAAGAAATATCCATGTTCCTTTGTACTTCCTATGTACTAGTTTGTGGTCTTTCTCCAAGCAAGAACATAGTGGCCGGAGTGCATACATTCAGGACAATGGTGGGTCGTCACATCGTATGTTATCAGTAAGTATACAACAGCTGCCTATGCCAAATGTATTAATTATTTGAGTCGTATAGGTAGATATAGGGTGTGTCTACCACCAAGTCAATTGATATAACTCTTAAAAATATTTTAGCTGTGTTGGGGAAAAAAGAAAATAAGTGGTTTAGCAACAGATAACAGACTTGACAAAAGTAAATGTTTGTTGTTGTAAAACGCATATTGACTAACATAAAAATTATTAGTTTCCAGAGGTAGCAACCGATGAAGTTTGCAGTCTTAAATAAGAAAATGTAATAGTAGCAACAGAGATAACCAAGACACTTCGGGTTTCTTCTGCGTCTAACAAAAGACAATTTAGTGTTAAACGTTTGGACGACTTACCTTTACTGATCACTTCTAAAGCGTGTGATGGTAAAAAATCGATTCAAACAGCAGAAGTAAACGATTTTAAGTATATATCTAGGTGCCAACACAAGCAAAATAAATCACTCTCCAGATTAATGGGATCTAAATTGTTATGGGAGAAACCGTAAAAAACCGTTATACAGACTGGGGTAGTAAGACCAGTGATAATGTGAAATGTGGCATAGAACTGGTAAAATTTAATTAATTTAATTAAAATATTTACATGAACGTTAACATTTAATTTAAAAATGTATTTTCAGTCGTGGACTAGGCCTTCTTAGACGTTTTGAGCGACACATCGAACGTGGAAGTGAAACGTTTGATTTGTCGGCAAAGCTGTTATAAGAGAGGAAACCACGCCAAAAAAAACGAGCCTGATACTCTACCTCGATGGTAGTTTGGAAAAGAGTATAATATTATTATTGCACACAAACACACCAATCTCATACAAGTACAGTGTCAAACCGTAATGTAGCCTCTTAATAATTGAATAAGTTCAGCTCTTGGTGTCAGTCAATATCACCAAATGATAATTACGTATGTTTTATTGATTTTATTTTGTTTAATTTTACCAATTTTCATGCAACCGAGCAGATATGTATTTAAGTGCCTAATGAGTAAGTAAACTGTGTAATGTTGGAAATTCAGAATGTGAGCAGTATTGTCTACTGTAATGTACTATTCAAAATAATTGTTAAAATTGATCATGATATAAAAATCATTATGAGCGTACAACTGTTAATCTAACCATTGCAATAACCGGCAATACAGTAAAATATGTCACTTAATCAATATGATTGCTCTTGTAATTCAGTTGAAATAAAACAAATCTTAGCTAAAAAAAAAAGATATTATTTTTACCCTTTCCAGTCGTCGAGTAGTTTAAAGATTCAACAAACATGTTCCATATCTGAATCGTTTATTATTTATGTAACGTGATAGTTATATCACAATTTTGTTGAAAATTAATTTGCAGAAAACACATTTTGTTTGGACTAAACAAAATATATATTATATTACATAATATTGTAAAAAAAAATGCTTGATGGTGCCGTTTCACTTGGTAGATAGGCAATATGATTTACATCCGTGTATTTCGAAGGCCAGCGACTGAGTGGCCGATAACTCAAATAAACCATTGCTGTTATAGTATACAGGGAATGATTCACTAACCATGGACTTAGCGATAGAGTCATACAGTTGAAACATACATCAAATTCGAGTTCAAACCAATAACGGCAAAAGTAAGAAAAAAAATAATTTTTGAAAGTCTTAAGAGGGCGTCGCACCGGTGATTTTCAGTGGTAAAAACATGTTTACGCCAACTGAAAATAACTCGCTTAATTTTGGTTTTAGAGTTAAAGCAACCATTATAAAATTAAAAGAAAACAATATTCCGGAGGACAAGATGGTGAGTTTTTAAAAAAAAAAATCATTTTTTGAAAAGTTATAGTCATTTAAAAATGTTAAAATAGTCGTTATTTCTAAACTATGTATTGAGCGTTATACTTGGAATAATGAAAAAAACGCACCGTCTTGCCCTCCGGAATATTGTTTTCTTTTAGTTTTATAATAGGTGCTAAAACTATAAAACCAAAATTGAGCGAGTTATTTTCAGTCTGCTTAAACATGTAGAGATGAAAAAACATTTTTAAATCGCTTTCAAGGATGCTGTGATAGCCCAAAAAATAAATTAACCACCAAAAAAGTGTCCTAGTTATTGAACTAATAATTACACATCACAGTTTAACCTTTAAATTAAGATTTTGTAAAAAAATTGCCTATACTTTACTCCTTAAAAATGGGCGGTGCGACGCCCCTTAATATATTATCAGCTTTTCAGATATAAAAGGTACGAAAAAGAACAACGACCAACGGGTAATCTGTATCAAACTCTTGCAAAGTTGTAACACTTAAACTAAAATGTTATTTATAAAAAATCGTTACTGTAGCTTTACACTTCTAAATTAGAGAAATATAATTGGAGTTTTACATTTTTAATTTCCTAGGGCCCCAAGAGTAAGGGTTGCTGTGAAAAGTTTTAACAGTAAAGTTTTAACGATGAAAAATATCCAATTTAGAATAGTGGAACAAAGGAAAAACTTTATTTTAAAATGTAGTCACATCTTACATAGGTAGTAGCGGTACACTAAAATGTATATATACATATATATAGACGCTTTAACTTGCATAGCTGTTTCGAGAAACGAGATTCGCGTACAATACACACATTTTTGGCAGTCATATACCTATATGTAAGCTATATGCTAAGCCATTTTTCTAAAATTGAAAGATTTTACAGGAAAACGAATTTTACGATAAATAATAATAGTGAGTTTTCGTCAATCTCCCGGCCTAGGCTTTTCTAACAAATATAATATTATACTGTTAAGCACAAAGGAAACTTATATAATGTGGTTAGTGTCACAACATTTGAGCAAAGAACATAAGCGTATCAAATTTTTTACAGCACTAGTTTCATATAATTGCAATCAAGTTATTTGGATGCAATAATAAAACAACATTCAAGAAAACGGTTCGCTGCGAATCCGTGAACACTACATGCCACTTTGGTAATTACTACTTTCATACTGTGCTTGGTTAGGACTATACTGCTTTTTTTTTATTATACCTACATTGGAAAAAACAACTTGTTCGAGTTGGCAAAAAAAAATGTTCTCGATTTTATAAGATTGATGATAGGCGTGATAGCAACTCTAATTGGCAATACTTTTATTTATTACACCCCTATAATATTGTACTGTAATAAATTGTATGTGATATACCATTGATGAGCTACTATTGCTTTAACCTCCCCGACTAAGATATAAAATCCGTATAAAGGGCCTAGAATTCACTTTATTGTACTATCAAAGTAATGTAAGTCAACTGATGCTATTCACTCTATGAATAATACATAAGAGTTCCACGAAGGCAGTTCCGAATTATTATTATAGTAGAGGACTTATAGATTTTTTTTTTTCACTTAAATCAACGAGGATTTATTTATTTTATATGATTGTCTTTTGTGACAACCAAGAGACCATTTTCTATGTAATATTATTATAGTTATCGTAGTGAATTAATATTCATGTTATATTTTTATATCTGTCGGATTTCACCTACGCTGTTGTTGCGCGCTAGTTTGTTATTTGTTCACACCTATTACACAGTTATAAGTACCTAAGTACATATTATTGTATTTTGTAATACAATAATTATAGATTTGTTGGCTGTGATTTTAAGGAGGAAAGCGCACTCTCCACAAAAAATATTCTATAATAGTATTTTGTGATGGTACCTAATATTTAACCTGGAAAAACGAGAAATGTACAGCTCGGTTTACTGAAAGTCTTTGTTTCATTTAAAATGTGGTGAGCTTGGCTAAAAGGAAAGCACTAGGGCAAGATGGGTACGTAATAGACCGCGACAAAGGGTTTAAAGGATATCCTTTTGTAGTAATCCATTGAGGTTGGATGTACTCCCAATAATATATTTTATGTTGCCAATGGTCAAACCCTAGTTCATGTTCAGCTTTTGTAGTTTTTAGAAAAAAGTGATTCCAGGGAACCGCAGTAATTGATGTCAACAAAAATCACAGAAGTAAATATGTAGGTACATACCAAACGATATTGAATATTCTATGAATTATTGTACCTATTTTTGTTTTTAGTTTTTTTCTTGAGGTTTTTCCTTAATAAAAAAAAATGTTTTACTACGGTTTTTTGAAATATTTTTATGTTCTAGGTGCACACTAAATCTTCTTAATTTTAAGACCAAAACTAAAAAAAAACAAACGACATTGTAAAAGCAAATACCATTTTACTGTTCCTCGTCGAAGCATCCGTGTTAATATGTAATCATTACACAGTAGAAAAGTATTAACGAGCCAACTTGGGAGAGGAAATAGAATTAAGAACTAGGACCCAAAGAGTAAGAAAAGCTTTAAGTGCAGTTTTTAATTTCTAACCAATGTCATTTCCGTTTTTCAGTGCTTATTAATTAGCCAAAACTGCATAAAAATTCATTTAACTTGATGACAAAATTTTATCAAAAACGATACATTACACTATAACCCCAATCTATTCAATAACTCAAATTATTAATAATTCATAACAATAACCGAATAATGTTTTAACAAAGTTTTAAAATAAAACTCGCAATTTAGAAACGTTATCTTCATTCATAAAATAAAGCAAATTAATATCCTTTTTAATATATATTAACTGAAAACTATAAATTAGCTTAATAAATTACTCTATAATATTGAACATTTTCTTTCGAAAACATACAGTATAATAATATAAATAATAATAGTACAAATATAGATCGGACATAAAATAAATAATTTATTGATAGGTTTGTGACAGTGAATCAAACTCGAGTTCTTTTTCATTGTAGCATTTGATAAAATCAGAATCTGCAAAGGAGTCTTTCAGCATATTAAATTGTCTTTTAGCAACCTGCAAATGAAATAAGTTAAAACGGTTCATAAAAATGTATTTGCATAATTAACTCACGTCGGACGATAGTTTTAAATGACCGGCAATAAATATAGAACACACTAATGAATCAATGTTGTTGCTATCTTTTTCTAAAGCGTCTTGCAATGTGATCTCGGCTTTTTTATAATCTCCTTGACCGATGTAACAAGCGGCTTGGCTATTTAACAGCAAAGCAGTGATTCCATATTTGTCGGTCAACTCTTGAAATATATAATATGCTTCTTGCAATTTTTCTCCACCCTTATAAACAAAACAGTTACTATTAACTATCCATTAAAACACTAGAATTTTGTTTATTTTTTGACAATAAGAAAATCGAATCGTACTATTGCTAAGTTCAACCAGGCTTGAGCCATTTGTGTCAATGTTGCGTCTTCGTCTTTGTCTCTCAACTGTTTAAATTCTTTGGTAGCCAAATCTAATCGGTTCATTCTCAAGTATATGACTAAAGACAATGTCATACTAAAGCAAACAAAATAAGTTTAAATAGAAAATTATGTATTATAGATATTATATATTATACAATAGATATTAGATAATATATGATTATATATTATCTTTTGTACACAAAACAAATTAACCTACCCCTCGAGAGTATCGTCATCTTTCAAAACTTTGAGAGCCGATTCGTAATTGTGTTCGTGGTTATAAATTGTAGCGGCAACAATAACGAGGGAATGATTAATTTCATACATGGCTTCTAGTTCTTGTTCTAATTTTTGTAGTATTAAATTTCTGAAATTAAAAATTATAGTTAATATTTAGTTTAACTAAATTCAAACAATAAAATATTGTATTTTAATTATTATACCGGATGGTTCTTTTCACACCCTACACTAGTTTACTCAAATAATTTCAATTTTGTAGTTTTTTTTTAACATTTTTTATTGTGTTATAGTAATAATAATTTATTTACGCCCTTAAGGACAATTGAAATCATAACAAAAACAGAAATTATAAATTAATAAATACAAATATCTATGCTGTATACTAAGTACAGTATAATAATAAATAATTTATTTATTCTTAATCTAAATTATCTTTAAACACTAAACATCAAGACCAAAGTTTAGATTTATTGTCATAGTTGAAGTCGAAATCGAACTTATTACAGACTCATTGAAGGTAAAAACTTGAATATTAAAAATATATTGAAACTTGAATGGGGTAATGTATTTGCCTATTTTTTGGTTACTCCCACTTGAACAGATTGACTTGTCTGGCAACGTTTCAGAACACTTGCATGTTCTATTTTCAGGCTGTGGTTTGTGTTTGCCTGTTGAGTATACTGGCAAACACGGTACGAGCAACATCGAACCAAAGCCTTGAAGATGGAACGTGCAAGTGTCTTGAAACGTTGGCAGACAAGTCAATCTGTTCAAGTGGGAATAACTGAAAAATATGTAAATATTGTAAACTTGAATATTAATTAATATTCTAATAAAGCATAAACAAAAATATTTCTAAAAAACTACAAATCATCAATTATTTTAAGAGAAAACTGGTGTAGGGTGTTAAAAGAATCAGCCGGTACAACAATATTTACTTTTGAGTTTGGCCTTGTAAATATTCGGCTAACAAACGATATGGTTTTAGTTCTGCTGGCGAATTAGCTCCTATTTCAGCTATGACAATGTTGTACTTCTTTTGAGCCAAATATGCACGGTACATATAAATGTCCCGCTGCAAACGTAAATTTCCATAATTTGGCTGTGAAAAATATAAATTATATTAAACAACTTTTTAAATTAATAGTGTCATTTTTAGTTGTATTATAGTGTGGCAAACAAGTAACATTAAAACAAAATCCACTAGGTTAAAAAATGAAGAACTAACAACGGCCTACAGTAATACACAATTAGCTATGTATGTGAAATTGTTTGTCTTAAAAAAAGGTGACAGAAAACAAAATAACGGGAAAAGACCAAGAGGTAGGTTCATCAGAGAATGTATGATATCATGGAAAAAGACACATACTGAGTCAATGCTTCTCTGGATATATACGAGTAACATTTAATAGAGAATAGTGGAAGAACACAGTAGAAGTGGCGAAGGACTTAACTGGCCTATTTCAAGCCTAATAAGAAGAGAAGAGGTGTAATTAAGTAGAGGTGTGAAATATGTACCGGTTCCGATTGAGCATCGATTATGCACTGTTGATAATTTCCAATATAGTAAGAATTTTTTATGTCAAACAATTCATTTGCTTCGTACGACTCAGCTTGTTTTGCAATATCTGAAAATCAGAGACAAAAAATCTAATAAATGTAATAATGTACACATCTATGAAAGAGGAAAAAAAATTAGCCACCTGTCATTTTGTTTCGGTTTTATACAGGAAACTTGACACAAACTGTATATTTATTGTTTAAATTATTTAAAACTTGATATTTAACAATATTTCGTAAAATATCAAATATTATTTTTTTTTGTAATAATAGGTTGTACTTTAGATACTTTAGTCCACAGACTACAAACTACAAAGTTAAATTTCTTATTTGTAAAATTATTAATTGGCGACTTGTGTTATCACTTATCAGTTATCACTTTACCACGTTCGTGATTGGTGACAATATGTTAGTCAGTTCATAAATTCCAAACACAAAATGTGCGAACAGACAACAAAATGTTATAATGAAATACAGGGTAAAATACCCTTAGCTCATTTACAATTAAAAACAATCTTAAAAAAACACCTTTTCTATTAAATAAGTCTAATCATAATTATTGATGGTATATAAACACATTTATTTAACTTAATTTGCAGAAGTAAAAATTTGTTTTTCTTTGAATTTGATATGGATACCTAACTGTCGTATTAGATGTATTATACTGTCGCACAAATAGACTATAACCAATTAAGCGATTGATTATAAAAATTATTTGCAACCGTGTTTTCTGTAGGGCGTTAGCAGAATCAACAGTCAGGTAGCTATTAACCAGCGAGTATTATTTACTATTTAGCCGCCAGGTGCAAACTTTAGATAATACAACGATTTGAATTTAAGTAACATTTAAAAACTACACAAGCGTTTTTTTTTCTTTATAAAGTTATCCTTTATAATAAAAGATGAAAGTAAAATAATAAAACTAAACACTTTCCTTTTAGTTTTTCGCTTTAGGTCACTTACACTTATTACAAGTTTTACTTCAAACATTACCTAGGAGAATCCAAGACTTTTTAATTTTCAGTAAGTATACTAATTATACTATGAAAATAACTTATTATATAACATGTAAACATTTTATCTTAATTCTTACTTGAGTCTTGAACAATTCTAATAAAAATATTCAGATTGTAAAAAATAATTTAATTTTTGTAGAACATTACTTTAAATAACCCCCCTAATAACAGTATTTTAAATCAAAAAGTCCATAACAAATTGTGAGATTAGTTTTAGATTTTAATATTAGAAATATTTTATCTGTAGATATTTTATAGAATAATATCGTTTTGTACTGCAATTATAATCTAGGTACATTATATTCTATAATATAGCCAGCATTCCTGAATTAATAATTATTACTACTTAAATTGTATTTTTTTATTTTGTTCTTTTATAGATTTTCTCACTTTATTACCTATGGAAAATTCAGTTATGGAAACAGTAAATGGTTCTACAGACACCATACCTAACAAAACTGTTTCGACTAATGAAAAAGAGAACGAAGACAATAATGGTGTTCAAAAAGAAGACTGTACTACCCCGTCGCCGGTTATTGAAAAAGCTGTGGAAAACACAAATGTTGGAAACTGCTATTGGTAAGTTAAAAACAAAAAACGCTACACATCATATATTAGCGAGATCTCGGGGTACAAGGCTCGGCAATCAACTTGGTGCACGGTATTATATTGTTGGAATGGTCTGATTTGACTCACACCTATCTAACTTATGGAGGGTTTTTCTTAACCTAAATTTAAAATATATGAAGTATTGTTTGTAAAATTATTTTATTTTCTAGTAACAAAGACAGGAACTACAATATAATCGAGTTGCTATGTGCAAATTGCAATCGTTGGTATCATGAATCGTGTATTGGTTATCAACTGGGAAAGTTGGTTCCTTTTATGGTGAACTATATATTTGTATGCAAAAACTGTTCAACCACTGGACTTGAGAGTTTCAAAAAAAATCCTGCTAGTTAGTTTTCTCTTTTGGAATAATTTCTACCTTTTACACTCCAATTACTCAATGTGATATTGTGTTTTAGTGTTTCCGCAAATGTGTGTAACGGCGATTGGAAATCTTATGCAAGAAAGTAACAAAAACGGAAACCCTCAGGTGTATTTTTCTAGGGACAAAGACATCATTCCATTTATCGAATCACATTGGGAAAGTATGACCACGACGGCTAGAAGAGTCACACAATCTTGGCATTCGACAGTAACTAATATTAGAAACTCACCTTCTTTTTCTTTTTATAGTCTTTTTTATGAAAAAACTCACCTTTTGAATTGCTGCATGTTAATATAATTGAACAGTTCTAAAAAAAATGAAATATTATGTAATAGATTATAATAAATATACTTGTTTATTTTAGATTACCAGATCATTAATAAAGGAGACGGATGCTTTATTTGGAGTACAAACCGATGAAAATGGCGGTCACTCTTACAAATTATTAATTGATATACCCCAAATCAAACCCAATTACGAAGCCATGATCAAAGGTGGTCATTTGAAAGTTACAGAAACCGGAATTCAACCTGGTAAATATGATATTACAATAGCAATAATGAAATATATTATTTTAGTTAGATTAATTGAAAATATCTAAATCTTATTCAGCTGTACCAAGTGCAATTTGTTTTTATTAAATTTTAGCCATAACGAGTGGTCTCAAAGGTCGTGGAGCTAAACGAAAAACATTAGGTGACGGAACGAGTGGTCCAGGTAGTGGTAAAAAAGGAAGAAGTGCTGGCGACCAGTCGAACATTAAATTACCTGCACACGGGTATCCACTCGAACATCCTTTCAACAAAGACGGTTATAAATACATTTTGGCGGAGCCCGATCCTCATGCGCCGTTCAGGCAAGAATTCGATGAATCTAACGAGTCGGCTGGAAAACTGATCCCTGGCTGGCTGTACCGTCCATTGTGTCCGAACCAGGTGCTATTAGCATTACATGATCGTGCTCCACAACTCCACGTTTCCGAAGACAGATTGTCAGTTACCGGGGAAAAAGGATATTGTATGATTCGAGCTACCCACTGTCAGTGATGTCATATTTATGAATGCTTTGGATTTTAGTATGACTAAAAATTGTTGTTTATTCCGATTTAGATGTTAGCAGTGGAAACTGGTATTGGGAAATGACTGTTGATGAAATGCCTGAAAATTCAGCGTGTCGAATCGGATGGAGCCAAGAATTTGCTAATATACAAGCTCCACTGGGATACGATAAATTTGGATATTCATGGAGGTCGAGGTAAATTTAATTTTTTTAGTAACATTCAATGTTTACTTTTGTTATATTGCACTCAATCAATTTTGTATATATATATATATATATTTCATGATAAAAAGAAAAGGCACGGTGTTCCATGAAAGTCGAGGAAAGCACTTTAGTAATAGCTATGGCGAAGGAGACACTTTAGGCATTATGATAAGTTTACCCAATGATCTACTACAGCTGCCACCAACTCATAAAAATTTGGTAATTTGTTCAATTTATAATCAGCAGTGTAGTTGTAAGGGTGTACCCTTGTCTCCCTGTTTTTTTACGTACAAATGTTTTTGTAACAATAATTGTGTACCCGCCAATAGAGTACATAATGAAACACAAGGTGTATTCTCTACTACAGCACTGTTTAAAATTTATATATTCACATATTAATGTTTTAACAAAAAAAAAAATGTATATTATTATTTTATCAGATACTGATTAAATTCAAAAGTCATTTGTATTATGAAGAACAATCTCAAGATAGTAGCCGTGATGCATTAAAAAGTCTTAAACCACTTATCGGCAGCAAAATAGTTTATTATAAAAATGGTGAACGTTTAAACGTTGGCGCAATCGACTTGTATGAAGGAAAATATTTTCCAACTGTATCATTGTACAAAAATTGTACAGTTTCCGTGAACTTTGGACCAGATTTTAAATATCCGCCACCGCAAACTGATGAGTTTAAATACAAAGGAGTATGTGTATTTGTATACAACCTGTGATAATTTTTATTTATGTACAATAATATTTATTTTATAGATGTGGGAGAGAGCTGGCGAAGCAATATGTGAGCAAACTTTGGCCGACGTTGTTTATTTAACTATGAACGAAGGAAAATTGAAATTGAGTGACCTATAAACGTTAGAGTAATTTTATAAGTAATTGTATTTAAATTAAAAACAATAAACATAATTGTTGTTAAGAAAATATTTTTCAATTATTCACTTGTAAAAATTTGTAATAATTAAAAAGATGTAATTTATTTTTTTTTTTTTTTGCTCTATTATGAATGGTTAAAATTATGATATAACTTATGATGATCAAAGTGATGGCTTATGCTATATGAAAACCATTTGAAAACTGTAAGTAGTTCAGAGGATGTTATACTCAAATTTTCCAGTGCTAAAACATATCTTATTAGAATGCGTTTTACTCGCTCCTGATTATTTTAAAAAATACTTATAACAGAAACAAAATGTTGGAGATAATGTCATAACTTTTTTTAAATTACTATAACTTTTTTTCAATGTTGTTACCTTACGATTTCTTAGAAGGTGTTTTTGCTCTTAAACAACTATGGACCTACGCATTCTGCGTAGCTATCTTAAAATTTAAAAAATGCTTTAAATCGCTGTCAAAGATGCTGCGGTAGACAAAAAAATAGTCCTAATTGCTAACCTAATAATTACACATTCCAGTTTAAGCTTTAAATAAAGATTTTGCAAAAAATTGTCTTTACCTAACTTCTTAATAAATGGGGGGTATCACATCCTCTTAAGTGTAGAAGTATTATCAATATATTAATAACATTATAATAATTGTAAATGTAATTTCATAAAAACTATTTAACAATGTTCTATTCTATGTACATTTATTATCTGTCTATATTTAATATTTCCAATAAAAAAAACATGACCATTTAGAAATTAACATATTTTTATTTAAAATACATATATTTACATAAAATTACTACAATAAGCAAAATATTATTACAACAATTTATTGTAATAATGATAATTTTAAGTAATCATAAAGAATTATACTTTCCATAGCTGAACAATAGCGTTTCCGAGACCGTCGCCATTAAAAATTAACTGCAAAAATCCAGCAAGCATGATAATAGACAAAAATGTAACTGTTAATTTACCCGCTTTGTTAGCTACTTGACCAACAACTGGCACACGTAGATAGTCCACTACTAAAGCCTCCAATCCCCTATTTTAAATTTAAAACAATATTTATTATATTAAAAAAGAATAGTTTATTTAAGACATTCTTTAACATACCAGTATGAATGAAAAGTGATACTCAAGGCTAATAATGTATCTATAACGGGAGACGAATACATTATAGCTGCTGGAAATAACGGTAACAAGGCGATAGACACAATACGCTCGGCTTTCCACATATTTGCATAATTTTTTTCAGATTTAGCCGCTACAGCAGTACCAGCACAACGAGAAAACATTGGAGCGATTGCCAAAGAATTCTGAAAAAAATTGTATTTATAGTGTTGGATATTTTTCATATCTAAGAATATCAAATAACGTAAGAATATTTACAGTTACTGTTTTATTGCTCGATTGACTTATGGCAGTGAAATTTTTGACACAACTCGGCATAATGCAAAATGATATTTGCTTTTGAGCAGCCAACCCCACACCTTTAATGAATAAAACATAACACATTATCTTAGGTATAATAATATCTAGGTAGTCTAGAAATAAACAAATTGACTTACATATTTTATTGGTTTGACGTAAAAGTTTCAGGCCCAACATTATTTAATGGTCGTGTCGTGCTCGTAAAAATTTGAAATTGTATAAAGCAATTAAAAACTTAATTAATAAGCAATTTGGAATTTAACGTTCAGCTTTCTGTGAAAAATCAAGTCATTTACTTAAAAAAATATCAAAATATAAGAATCATATGATTTTATAATAGATAACATGTTTAACAAACTAAGAATATGTCAGACATTTGTAGTGATAGCATGACAAAACAAATATGTATTTTAGCACTTGTGTTATCAATTTATTAAGTATGGTTGCTCCCGTAAGGATTACATAGCCGCCCGAGAAAACCGGCGGCCATTTTGTAGTTATCACAAGTTGCTGACATACCTATTCATTTTATCATGAGCACAAATGGAAAAACAAAAATTCTCACCGCCGTGGTAACTGGTAACAGCATTTGGTTGTATAGTTATAATAACATGATTTAAGATAACACAGCGAATTGCTTAAAAATATGAACGATATTCACGTTGGAAGTCTGAAGAACCAGCTGTTATATTATCTGCGAGTTATACAACTAGCAGCTCTCAAGTAGCCAAGATTACCCAATCAAAACTCAGTAAAAAAACTTTTAAAATTTGAATTTACTGCCAAAAAGCCATTTTCCGACATTAGGTTAGATTCTGCTGTACATATTAAACAAAATTGCAAACACAATTAATACTTATAGTTCACTGTTGTTTTATATTAAATCGTGATTAAGAAAAATCCATTTGTTGAATGTTTTTTGTATCAATACACGTAGGTACTTCTCAACAGGGTTGACCATCTGTACATAATAATTGAATGCCGTTTTTATCCATACATCGTAATTAACAATATAATGAAAATATTTTCAATGTTCTTGACCGTTGATTCATTCAGGCTTCACACAACACAACCTAGAAATTGATTACATTCAAAGTGAAGGTAATTTTTCCCTTTTTTTTTTTTTTGGTTTTCCTTAATAAAAAAATATTTGAACTACAGATTTTTGAGACAATTATACATATTTTAGCCTCGTTCTAGATTTTAGGATTAATTTTCAGACATTATCCTAAAACGTCACCTAAAAAATCTAAATAAAGGTAAAAGTTTCTACCCCTTCTAGATAAAAAGATTAATGATATTTGTTTGGTTTGTCAACGTTCATCGGTAGCACTAGATACGACTAAAAAATATTGATTACAAATTTGATATAAATTAAATAGCAAATATTTATTATGTGTTACTAATGGACGTTTTCCCTAGTAAGCTTAAAAATTAACTTTTATTTAACAATGGTCAATGCTAGAATTATAGGTTACTGTACTTCGGTAAATATTAAGCCAAACTTGTGAGAACGCCCACAAGTTCTGAATAATATACTGCTTAGGGAAATCTCTACATCTCTCTCACTCTTTCTTTCTCTATCAAATTTAATTGGACGGATATTTTAAAATATTACGTTAACATACTTTCTAACATCTAAAAACCATCTACATTACTTGTAAATTACCCGGATGCAAACAAAACTCCATTATTTAAAAAAAAAATCCTCTTATACTACATCGCTATTAATTATTATATTAATTGAATTTTACGTCATAGATATTAAGTATGTCAAAAAATTAGTTTATTAATCTCAATAATTTATAAACAGATTGTATTTTTATGTGATAACATTTACTCTTAATAATTTGGGTATGACATAAAAATGTATCTATTAGGATATGACTATACGTTGGACTAAAAATATTTTAGTATCGAGAATAATAAGTCCAAACTAGGATTCAGATACCACATATTGGATACAAAAAAAATTACAATATTTTTTTTATGTTCTACTGAATGTGATATACGTGCCTAACAAAAAAAAAGCTTCAGGCATATTATAATGGTGTGTGACGACAATAACGCGATTACAATAACAACTATTTCAAGTTTGTGTTTTAAACAATAAATACACTATTTATAGTGGTCGAAAAATTAAAAAATCTATGTCTTACTGTAATCGTACAGCATATTATACAGGGTGGAGATGGTGTGCGGTTAGGCTGTAATGCGCGCTGAAAAAAATCCTGTACCCCGCTCTTCTTCCCGTCTTATATTTTAAACTAATCAACATTATTCTAAAATTAAAACCATCATTTTAAAATTAAATTTAATATACATTTAAGTTTTAAAAGTTGATGAAGCTCCAGAAAATACTAAAAAGATAAATATTTGGTAATTTTATGACATTAGAAAATGACAGACACAAATGTTTTCAAAAAGAAAAACTACAATATGCAATTATTTTGAGAGAAAAGAGTGTTAAATAGATCACTCTGTATGGTGAGTTAACAGTATTTTACGTGATTACCGTTTCCAGTTTAAACGAGCTCATTATTTAATTAATTCATCAACCTCAATACGTCAAAACTAAAAATTAACATATTATACCTGTGTATAAAAATATGTAAGTGTATTATAAATAAGATGATCCGCTTATTTGAAGAAAAAAATGTTTTTTTTATAATAAATAGATGGCACAGTAGTAAGCCAATTATTATGTTTTAACTTCATGATCTTGGAAAAACATAGCCGTACAAAAATTGACTGTTTTTTGAAGAAAAAAAAACTGAATTACATTTTTTTTTTGTATGTTTTCACCAAAACCGATTATGGCCTTAGATTTTCTTTATTACATCTAGTTGTTTATTAAATCACCATTAAAGTTGTCCAAACCACTACAACGTTATGTGGTATTTTCAGCGTGTCCAGTCCGTTAGAATAGTATTCTACATTTTTTGTTTAACTAAGTTTTTTTTTTATTATTTTGTTAAATTCAGAATTGATCTCGGAACATATTATAAGTAGAAATTTCCTATTTTCAACACTAAAGCATATTTTGATTTGGTTGTTTACACTTATTCAGGCGATTTAAAAAACAAATTGACACGCTAACGAAAATCATAGACCAGTGACCATATGCGAAATTTGGAGAAAAAAAATCTATAAATTGTTTATATTGTTAATGTGTTAGGCTGTTATATTATTACTATTGTGGTAAACGATTGCGGTCGCCCCAAATAATATAAACTTCTAGCTGAAAACCAATTTTGTTCTTCTTATTTCGCCCTGTTATCTACCTATGTAATATGTTTCATTTTATTGTGTTCAACGAGTGAACAAAAAAAAAATACTTTCTCTGTCAATGCCACCAAAAAAGCAAGTAAACGTGTCACCCGCGTGCGAGGCAATATCATGCGTGGGTAACTTTAAAAAAAAATAATAATAATTAGTCTTGTTACATTGTGTTCTTCATTCAACGAGTTGAGAATTTTTTTTACAAGTTTCGTTTTAACCAAACTAAACTTTTTATTACGTGAGAAAAATGTAATTGTTTTTATATTATAATTGCCACTGATTAATAATTATTACCATATTAGTTTTTTTCTATATGATACACAATGACACATTTTTCGATCTGTACATTTTAATTATATAGGTAGGTAAGTAATGAGAGTAGTTAGAGTAATTCATAATAAAGTGGATTATTTATCATAACACTGGAGACTTATGAACTATTTAGCTATGTACTGATTGCTGTTATTTTTATTACTTTATTTTATGTAGGTGTACTAGCGATTAGCGAAAAGAGGCCAAACTTATACCATACTTAACAAGCCGAATAATATATACATATATCTATATAATATATAATATTATTTGATCGACGAAACGTATACGGACATATTTTATCGAGTATAATCATAGCTTCGATTCACAAACAAGCTGAAAAGGTATGATGCGGTTTAAATTTGTTCAGATAATTATACATAATATTATATTATTATGTCCGCACGCGTTCAGTTTGGTGGTAAGGACTTCTCGAACTCACTGCAGAGTTCATACACAGAGCGATAAGTCTCCAATTAGACTATAATATGGTACTATCGTTCAAGCTCCTTGTATATTAAAAAATAAAAAATAAATAATAATTGTTATTTTTTCCCCAATCGCCCCGCTGATATTGTTCAAAGGGTTGCCTTTAAATAGTAATTGGAAATTGTGCTACACCCTATTATTCGACGTCCGAATGCTAATTTTTCTTATAACTGTTTTATAACAAAACAAAATTGAAATTGTATAATAATACAAATATTATTTACAATACATGTGGCATTGTAGGTATGATAGCATTGTTTAGGCGAACAATACTACACAACAGGACGGCAACTCATTCCAGTGATAAGAAGCAGTTGTCCACTCGACGAATACGACCTACAAAGGGACTTGAATCTTGATCTTATTTATAAAGCCATTAACCAAGCAGTAATCTGGAATATTTAATCTTCGTGTGGATTACGTGATAATAATTAAATTTAATGTACAGAGTGCATTATAACTAATAGACAAATCGAAATATATTAGTGTAATCCACAAAGTCGAGTTCGTAATCGAACGAGACAAAATATGTTATTGCGAATTTTGAAACAAAACGATTAACAACTTTCGAATTCAATTAGAAACTATCAACGATTTTAACATGCCAAAATGTCAGACATAACTCCTATGTTTATTTTCAAAAAATTATGCTCCTTATAAGGTACATCGGCAGTTGGCATAAACCTGTGCGTTCTAATGAAAATGAAAGTCCACGACTTCAGTTGCCAAAACTTAACCATAAACATGAGATCTGCCTAAAGAACCATGTTAAGCGCACAATGTAGAATATTGTAAATAGATCCAAGGGCGCCCACAGTTGTAAATTTAGAGTTGGGGCCGCCTATGATGTTGTAATATATTTTACAAATTTTAGATATTGGATATACATTTTTTTAACTTGTAGACAAGTTAGGAGGGGGAGTTGTCCCCCTGCGCCTCCCTGCGGGCGCCCTTGCATAGATCACTATCGTTATGTATTGTTTCAGTAAATCGTTTAAATACATTTTGACACTTTTGAGTATTTCAAAAAATAAAAAAAATATCTTTTTAGATTTTTTACTTTGAGTTATAAAAAGTTAACATAAATGACTAATTTTAGGTAACTTTTTTCAAAAAAATTACAACAAGCAAATCCTCGTAAAACAATCTTGTAAAAATAATCTATTAATCATAATTTGAATAACTAAACAACTTCACTCATACCTTCGATAAATCCTAGATCGGTTGTGGTTTTTTTCCATTTGTCAATCATCTTCTTTGTTGACTTTCATTTAGCCGTTATACCAAAATGCACGTCATGATAAAAGTAAAACAAAAACTATTAACTAGTTTTTTCAACTTTTTGAGGAATAAACCTAATTCTTTTAAACTCGTTAACATTATTCTAAACATTACTGTAACGAACGCTTAATAATTTTAATGATGTTTTAACAATTTCGTTTTTATTTGCATTTAAACATTCAAAAACATTTTTATTTTACAATATATAATAACACGCAATCGAAGGTTACGTTTGATAAATTAAAAGTATAATTAGTTCTTGTACTTTTATTACAACAATGTGATGGACATTTGAAAAAACTTTTTATACAGTAGGTACCTATCACGATGACAAGCAATTGCGAGGTGATTCGTTATCGCCATAGACGGTATTTACAAAATTATGTATTATTTATTATTAAAATCTTCTGTTTTTAAACAATTTTAAATGGATTTTTTTAACATAACACAATCTCCATGTTTTATAATTAGTTAAAAATCAAAATTTGTACACATACAAGTAGCTGTATATTATAGTAAAATGATTATTATAATATATTATGACACGCGACCGGATGAAAATAGTCGATTCGTTAATAAATACTAATTATTATTATAATTATTTATAAATAAACAATTTTGTTTTAATCAAAAGAAAAAAAAACAAAACATGGACTAGACACCTGGTGAAAAATATTTTTTCGAGTCTTTCGAACGCGGCGCACTACTACAAATCATGTTTGTCTTCTGGCCGCATTTGCGTCTCGCCTTCTCCGTCGCCGCCTGTGCGTGTGGCGTGCGTGGCCGCCGTAACCGTAATTGACGTACTTGACACTGGGTCCAGGCTTCGGCCCAAAAACGAAGTCCCGGATGGTCATGAATATGGCCGCGTTCAGGGCCATGTTGTTGATCATCATCGCGGACATGATCATCATTTTCAAGTTGGCCAACACGACGGGCGCGAATCCCAGCGCTATCAGTTGCGGGATGAGCATCATCGGGCTCATCATCATGTCCTTCATTTTTCCGCGGCCCTCGGCCCGCGTGTCGGACACCTGGCGATCTTTGCCGACGTCGGCCGTAACGCAAGACAACACCGCCGTCACCGTCACAAACAATAACAACAACGGCCGCGACGACGGCAACGACGGCGGCCGAGCCGACGACCGTCGTGGAAGAGCACTAGCGACCGTCCTCATGATGGTCAGTAAAACACTAACAAACTCCGCACTCCGGACGGCCGGACAGCGCGCCGGCCGCGCGTTCAAGCCGGTTCCGGGCGACCCGTCGGCCACATGCGAAAGGCACATTCCAAGGACGGCAACGCTGACCCACAAACCCGTGACCGGTTTACCGGAAAACGAGGGCAACGGGCATCACCATCTACACAGTACAGTCCTTCCGTTTTCTCATCCCATACATAATCCGGCCGGTCGCTTCTCCACAAATGACCTATCGTGTCTTCATCAAACCCGAAGAATTTTTTTGTTCAACAAATAATTATTTGAATACAATAAAAATATATTTTAAGTACATTTTTATTGGCTGTTCCAAAAAAAATAATTGTTACAACAATCGTTTTTTTATTATTTATAATTATTTTAAATAATATTTTGTTTAAGTACATTTTTTTTATTTGACTAGGTACTTTAAATTATTTAAATAACTGTACAATTAGTGTGTTAAGTTGAGATTGAAAATGCTTAAATACTAAAATTCAACAACTAGTTGGTCCCGTAATAAATAATTAACAAACTTTATTTCCGACTTGAAAGTTAACTGCAAATAGTGTTTGAAGCTTGAAGTATCAAGCTATTTGATTTTATCAAAAGATCATATTGATTAAATAAAAAACCCCACACTTATTGTTAAGTAATTTATTGACAATTTGCAAAAAATTAGAAGATGTATAATTTAATTTAGGAGAAAAATAAGTTTTATACTGTAAACAATAAAGAAATATTTTATAATTATAGGTATAGATCATGCATATACGATAGATATAAGTACCAAAAAAGAATTCTTATTAGGTTATGATTGTATGAAATTGCAAAGCCCTAATTTTAGACTTACTGCTTAAATTCCTTATCATAAGAGGAGATTCATAATCATTTTGTTATTTCCTTAAATTTATTTTTTAATCTTTATAAATTTTAATTAGGTGCTTGTTAAAATTTTAATTACCAACTAGTTTTTTTTTTAACAGCTACTTGACCTAGAGACTAAAAATAAAATAACTGTCTGTTATTAAATACTGTTAAAGAAGTCATCTTGTGACGGCAAGTGCGTAAAAAAACTAGCAAAATTTATTTTTAAAAGGATTTTATGACTAGGTTGTAAGATAAAACATAGCCAGAAATGACTTAAAACATGATTTCTGAAAACCTGATAATCAATTCATTTTATTTAGGATAGTCGGAACCCGACTTTAATAAAAACAACCAAAACCCGGTACCTCAATTAAATATATCCGGTTCAAAGCTATGCTATTTAGTCGTTAATTGTTTTTCTAAGTAGAAAAAGGCTTAGGTCAGGTAGGATAATAATTATCCGATAATTTTAAATGGATTTATTAATACTATTTCACTTTTCATTCTTCTTCAACGTTTATTATGAATCATAGTTATACTATCTATAATATAGTACAAGCTACAGATGCTATTCAATTTAATGTGTTTTCCTTAACCGCTGCCTTTTGAACCTGTTCGATTTGATTCCATTATTTTTACCAATTATCTACCTATTTTTTAATTAAGTACTATATGTCTATATTTACAGAATGCGCTATTAATACCTATAAGTTATATTTTTCCCTCAAAGTATAAGCTACATGAATTACAGAATAATTTTCTATTTTTTTAAATTATCAAACGTATATGACATCAATGGGAAATGGTTTTATTTATTATTTATTTTGTCCTTTTCGGACGTCGCCCATATATAAATATAATACCGAATAATGGACAGTATCAAACCGTTATAAACAATATTATATGAACAGTGTGTTTGGTTTAGTGTCGTCTGTTTATTATTTCTCAATAAGACGAACAATAACGACAACAACAACAACAGCAGCAATAATATAATACTAATGATACGACGCATATTTTATCAATTATGATCATATTGACTTGAAAGTAAAGAGTAAATTTTAAACGATTTTTGACCTCTTCACGTGTGTTCGGTAAATACATAAATATTTTAGAAAATTATAATTATTATTACTAGTTTCACGTATGCACGTTCGGCCTGGTATGATTGTACTGCTTTGTGATGATGTCTGACAAAACTCAAGTAGCAAAAAAATTAAAAAAATTATAATCTTATTTTAAGGGGATCGGGGAGAGGGCTCTCACGCCTATGGAAATTTAGAGAAAGAGCCGAATACCAGTTTTTTTGCCGACCGAGGCGGTTGGTAAAAGCGAGGTACATACTCGAGAAATATGTATATTGTTATTAAGGCCAATAGATTTTAGGGCGAGAAAATATTGCTAAAAAATAAAGTGTAAAAAAGATTATTCGTGTGATTGTATTATTATTGTTATTTAGAAGAGTGAAGACTGTTCGTCGACGACAGCCTCGAGAGACTTGAAAGCAGTGGCAACGGAAGCAGATCGAAATATAATCTTTTCATAATGATGCAACTGATCGCTGACGTTTATGACAATGGGGAAAAACATAATACAATGCACATAGGTATATACACCACAAATACTGCAGCACACGACCAGTACATTATTATTATATTGTTGTAGCATGAGCGCGTAAATGATTTATGTTTTGTGTTGTCGACGCTTTTACACAAAGAATGAATCGGGTATACACATTCCAACAATGTGGTACGCATATAGTGTAAACGACCAGCCTTGTGACCCGATGACTAATGAGGTTCAAGTCCCTGTGTTTTTCTTCAGCGTCTTGTTGTTTTAATAAAGAGGCCTGAACTTTTTTTTCAGTATAAAAGAAAAAAATGTTAACATTACTCTGTGCTATTATAGGTGTTTTTTTCAGCATTTAAACAACCTGAACACAACAATAGCACACGTCGTTTACAATGCAAGCGATGAGAATCAAAAGAGTATAAGTGATTTTTAGCAAAAATTTTACGAGTTCTTATTAATGTTTTTTTTCCAATATCTACTGGAAAATTTGTAAAACAAATACAGGTAAAAAAAAAAGATATCGTCGAGAAAATACTTTGAAAAAATGCGATTTTAAAATTCCATGAGATTCACGTTCGCCGTGATGATTTATTATTTAGTAAGTACACTAAAAAAAAATTGTTTTCAAATAAAGGATAAATTTTAATACTCTTATTTATATTTGAGTAGTTTATTTCCTGGTACATTTTATGTACGCGAAGAAATATTTTACTAGTAGGTTTTTTCGGCGGTTCAGTTCGATTGTCAGTTGTATAAATTATATTATACATTTGAAAATTTAACATGAAATGTTTCATATTAAAATCATTGCGGATGCGCCTTTTTGCCCGATGCCTAGTAATAGTGAACTAGTAATAAATACTATTGATTTCTAGTGAACTCTGTGTCCGTCTGGCAAAGTACAATTATTTTCCTGTAATGTTCAATCTACTGCGAACAAAACCGAATAAGAGCTAAGAGTCGTCGTTTAATTGAGGGTTGATCATTTTGTAATACTTAGCTGTTGTTCAGCAAGTTTTTAGTAGTATTGTTATGTGTATGAACGTTTGGTCGTGTGCTTCCGCATAATTACACATTTGTACACAGGCGTTCCTACGATACCGGATATTTAAGACCTAGTTGGAGAGCAGCAAAAGTGAAAATAATCGAAAACCAAATCCTTAGCCAACTCTAACCTCGATCGTAACACAATGTGTAACAGTATTTTTTTCGTTTTTTTTTTCGTCACTCTGTAGTGAATACTCAATGTCCAATAGTACCTATGTTATTTCGTATACCATGCGGTTTTGTATGTTGGGGATTTGGAGATTGCGGCTCTGGGAATTTATCGACCGGGACTGGACAAAAGTAGTCTAATCCAAAATCTTAAATCCGGCCGTTAAGTCCGAGTAGTCGAGCGTGTGTCGACCATGGCACATTAATTAGTGACGACTGGCTGCAGCTGTTAATGCGGTGGATACGTGCAGCGCAGCAGCTATATAGATAAGATAAATGCGAGATCGTCGGTTAGAGAGAGAATAAACCCTCGGAAACACTGGAACAGTTCAAGGCGAATGAGATTAAAGTATAACAACATTCAAGATTCGTTAATAGGTATTTGGACAAAATATATGTATTAACATTTCGTGTTCGGTTAACTTGTTAATAATTGTTATTTAAATAAACAACATATGATGCTATCACAATATTCGACCTTTGTTCGCCACGTGCGTGCGATGGAGAGATATTTTTTTTTAAAATGAGCTAACCTCCCGATTTAAGTATACTACACGTGTTTGGGACCTAATTTAGAAAACCATTAAAAAAAAAAAAATACCGAATTCTTAATTTAATCTTCACTAAGTTGTTACTCGCGTTTAACGTGTGTTTTTACTTACCGGACGGCCGATTTTATTCAGGTTAGCACCACTAGCCGGTATCTATCTTAAGTGGTCAAGTTAAACATCTCTACGTACTTTCGATATTGTATTTAGAGCGAGTATTTATTTTGATGGAGACAAAACCTAAAGAAAGTCCAAGAAAGGTAAATATATCCACCATAGACTGTCAAAACTGTATACATTTGAGACATCCTCTTAATCCAAATGTAAGACAGTCGAGAACTCATTTTTTTTGTGAAGAAACAAAAAGTGTTGCCCGCTATTAAAAATTAAGTAGGTGAAGTTAATTATCTTTCTACTTAGAGCTGTTTTTTTTAATATGTTAGACATGCGCATGATGGTCGTAAAATTACTCACAGCTGTACAATTCACATTAAAATTTGACATACTTCAAGTATTTCGGTAATTTCACTGAACCCAAAGCTTAAGAACCGACGAACTAGATCATTTATAATAACTACATGAACGAACCAAGACCACCTCTGAAGATGGACCATATAAACCTAACTAGTCTGAATCGACGGAAAAAAACCAAACTGATTTATATCTGTAAATGAATAACATACTATTATTATTAACATAGTTCACTCTTGTTGATAAATTTAATTAATTATTAATTATAGATGAACAAATCAATCTTTCATAATTTTCTTCTCCTTGGCTGTCATATTGGCCTACTATAAGTAATAATGTCTTCCATCAACATTCTGCTGCTATTTAGTTACTAGGTACCTGAGGAACCCAAAAGGAGGTACCGTACCTCCTACTGGGTTGGGATTTTCAGCCCAGTACAGAGAGTCTTCCACATCTTCGGGGGTGGGTTTTCCCTTGTTCTTCAGTTAACAGATGTGCTGGCGGCATGCCAGTCTTCGTCGTCGGACACAAGAGCACATTTTTTAGAACTTTTATAAAAAAAAAAATGCATTCAATTTCCAACCTATTGGTATGAAAAAGTGTGTTTTGGAAAAAGTGGACCTATAGAAAGTGTGCTCGAAGCCATCGTTTTAATGTAATGTATAGCTATAACGGCCAGGCGAGACTAACGGTTATACACAAAATGCACATGACTGTATTTTTTTCCCCTGTTGTGAATAATATATTACACGATTTTCCATTACCGGCCATATCATGTGGAATAGCACTACCGTGTTCCTTGAAAATGGCAACAGCTTCTGCCGGAAAAAGGGGAAAAGTTTTTACGGTCGACGCCGGTCCATAATAGATGATAACGTGGTTTAGTAATTATTTACCGTTTTCACACCTCGGTTGGTTGTGCCTTAAAGTTTTTATTATCCACTCAAAGCTCTGTGTTAATTTCGTTTACAAATTTTTGTCATAACTCGCAGGGTTTCCCGGAAAAGCCATTTTTTTTTGTACAATGTGAAGGGTGGTATTATAATGATGTACAACGTAGGTATTATCATAATGTACTTGGTGTAAACTTAATTTTTGTGTGAAACCGACAATGGCTCTTTATGACCCAAGACATTTTGTATCCCACACAGCGAACAAATATTTATATTTTCAAAATTTTGTAACAAGTTTTAAAAATGTTATGAAATCATGTGTTGGATATAGGCAAATGTTTCAAAAATATAATCGAACAACATGTTGTTTGAATATTGGAAAATATGATCATATTAAATATAAGTAAGACTGGAAATATTTTTATGATATTGAAACAACATGTTGTAAATAATATTTTTGAAAAATGTATTCTCCATAACATGATATTTTTAAAAATCACCAAACTGAAAATATGAATATTTTTTATGTCTGAATTATTATTAGGTTTTCATTGGGACATTATTAGTCATTACTAAATTATTTTGTAAAAACAAAAACATATTTTGTATGTATTATAGTAAGCCAGTTTAAATGTTACTACAATAATTTATAACTATTTAGGTCATAAATACTATTGCTGCCTTTCGCACGGCTAGTTAATATTCTCCGGCCTAACTCTCTTCTAACAATATCCGCCTGTATAAGTAGGCACAGACAATTCTTGACAACAATGACAACCGATAATTCTATACTGCTGAGTACGAAAAATATATCAGATTAACCGAATTAACTCTAGTTTATGAGATAAAGAGCACCAATAATAATAGACTGCATAAGGGCTAAACAAAATACAAATTATTATTGTTTAATATACCTAATCGGTTCCTGAGACAAAATCGATAAGATTTTATTAACTATTCGTTCATTATACACTGGATCACTGGACAAGATCACTTGACATGAAGTTTATCTCGAAAACCAGAGTCAATCTAAACAAAGTAACTGTTTTTTGTGTATGTGTAATTTAGGTGTATACTAAAATCGTAGATAACTTTTATGTCGCAGAAAAAATGTATTTTTTCGCTCAATGTAATCATTTTGTATTTGTGACAACAAGACGTGAGGGATATCTTACGTTTCGTGTGATCTAATCAGCCATTTGACATTTGAAAACAATATGTTTTTTTTAAAAAAAATAATCGTTGTTTGCACTTTGTATAGGTAAGTTTGTATAACGTTTGCCATTGGCTGGCAGACGTCGAATTATCGCCATAAACAGCCAATAACACAGAAGTTTTGGTGTAGAGTTGAATTATTGAAGATTAATAACCAATCATTGGACCATACTGCAGTACTAATATAATATATTGAATAAGTTAATATTTGTGTTAATGAACAGAATGCATGACATCATTTAAATAAATATTTAATAAGTGGCATGTGCTTTGTAAATAAAGTCGACAAAATTAGAATACCGCGGTTGTTATTGTCCGGATTAAAATCTAATTTTTAACCTCTTCGTCACCTAACTGATTGATTAGTATATAGTTGTGTCAATTGTTTAAAAATAACACTAATAGAGGAACATAACAATAGTATAAAATATTTGTACACAGGTATGTTGATCGTTTGAGGTACATGTTATTGTGTGCATTATATTCATTTAATGTCAGAATGTATTGATAAAATAATTAAACGGCGAGGTGCATTTGTTTATAGCTTACATCAATTATTACGCAATTACCTATTTAGATAAATTTTGATTTAATATAGAAAGGATCAGTTTTATTTTAACACTCTACAAAGAGTCGTCATAAGAATTCTTATCTAATCTTATAAAAACAAAAACCCTGTACTCAATAAAATCACTGGCTCGAGCTATTGTTTTGTGCGATTTATTTATTTGGGCATAATTTTGAAAGTAAACATACGAGAAATAAAAAATAAATATATTAAATTAAAAAAAAAAAAATAATAGTTCAAAATTATTTTTAAAAAAATGTTTATTTTTTCAATTCAATTATGCAAGTGTTACTTAGCTTAAAATATTTATTGTGTTGTAAACAGAAACATAATACAAGCAATAAAATACATTGGTTATCATAAATGATATCATTTTCATATACGCACCTATCGTGTAAAAACTATACTTAATTAATAAATGTACTGTTCCTGTACTTTGCGCATTGTGTTATTCACTCTGCAGTACTCTACACTTTTTCTATTGTTTTTTTTATGCACTCATATTCTATGTCACTTGTAATAGGTACAAATTAATAGTTATTCCTATTTATAGATTAACTAACATGTAAGGAATAACATTCATAAAATAATACTGAGCAAACAGTTAACTTTGTATTTTATTTCACGCCTAATCGCGATTATACATTTTAATATAATAATTATAAACTGTTATCAAACTGATATTGCCATATTAACAGTACTATGGTAAAACTTGCAGTTAAAGGTTGGCCATAGTGAGGACTACCTTAAATAATTCATACTAATTCGGGTATATTTCAAAATGTTGAACTTTGAAGAGAATGCCATACTCTAATTTATTAAGGGGTTAGATATAGGCAATTTTTTGCAGTTTCTTATTTAAATGTTAAGCTGTGATGTGTCATTATAAGTTCAGTAATAAGGACCTTTTTTTTCTCCATCTAAACATAGCTACGCATATTCTCTATTATTGGCTAAACATTAATCGTAGACAATTTTTTTTTTACATATTTAAACCAATGAGAACTTTATCTAGGTTCTCTCACCGGCTTGTTTTTTTATTATTAACCAACAAATTATATTTTAAGTTTAACCTTTTTTAAAAATAGTTTTTTAACACTTGTATTTAAATGTGATGTCATCATTTTTATTTTTTTTACTCATAAGTAATAATAACACAGAAAAATAAATAATGGTTGTAGAACTTATGAACGTTTTCAAATCATTAGGAAGAATTAATGCCGTTTTCTCAATGGGAAACGACCGCATCGCAATATCCTTTTCCAATAATTCAGTCGTTAATGCTAAACGTTGTAAAAAAAAAAAAGTTTAGACTTTTCATTGCTAGATTCAACAAGAAGACATTCGTTTTGTTGAAACTATATAAAACGTTATTATTGTTAATTTATAAACGTTTTTTTGCAAATTCGCCGCATTGCGGCTTCTGCCCTACATAATGTGAATATAAATATAAAGCAACTGTTGATCGCAGTGCCATAATTCCGTTTCGTTGGCAAAAAAAAAAAAAGTCTCGTTTCCGCGGCACGAAGCTCCGCCATCGAATACGAGTTTTAGTGCGCCAACCAGTAGCTCAAAAGTCGCGTGTTCGCGTGAATAGCTACACCAGTCGCGGGGGTTACTTGTATACGTGTAAGGAAGGCACGTTCTCCTATTTTCTCCACACTGTACGTGTACTCGTCGGTGCTTTCGGGGTCGCGGCGCGAGTACAATTTTTTTTTGTAGTATGCCTACCGCCGTTAGTTATGTTTGTGGGTGGCGATCGGCCGCGGGGGCGGCGGCGCGTGGAAGGGTGCGGCTTCCACGAGCGACCAGAGGGTTGGTGCGGCGGCGGCGGTGGCGTCGCGGCGTCCCTAACGAGAGTGCTCGGCATTATCGACCTGTTTGCCATATGATTCACTCCCGTCGAAAACGTTTGCACATTCACGTTCGCGTAAAGCTGCACAGTAAACGAACGCGCGCGTTACGTACGTTTTTTTTTGTAATAATTCGATTTCGCATAGTGCATATTGCGATTCCGCATCGTTATTGTCAGAATCGACCGTCCGTTAATATTATGACCGTTTGCGGCGGTCCGATTGGTGTCCGGAACGTGTACGGATGAACGAGTTCGGGTATAGCTAGCTGGTGATCGTCAAGACCGCGAGGATGTGTTGGCGAAAAAGGTGTGCGCGCCGGTAGCTGTTAACATCGTGCCGCCAAAAACGCGGATCGCGACGACGCGGCCTCGACGATGAAACAGAAAAAGAAGAAAGACGCCGCCGAACAGGCACAGAGCGGCGCGGACGACGGACACCAATGTAACGGCGGCGGCGGCGGCGGTGGCAGTGGGCCCAGGCCGATAAAGTCGGCGCTAAAACGGACCGGTACGGGCCGCAAGTCGTCCGGCTCGAAGAGCAAGCGGCACGTGCAGTTCAACGAGAACATGAACACGTTTTTCGAATCGGACTACGTGATCGTCATTAGGGACGACGACTGCGACTTCGACGAGGAGGACTTCGACTTCTGGTCGCAGCACCCGTGCAGTTGTGGCGACGATGCTTGCTTTCAACCGTGGCTGGACGACGAAGAGGCCCGCGGGCGGCCACGGTTCGACCCGTACGAGGAACAGCCCGCCACGCTCAGCCCGCCGGACGGCTACAAAGACGGTTGTCCCAGGCACATGCCCTCGTCGTACGACCGCCACGGTAAGTGTCGAGTATTTACATTTGCCGTGTATTCCTATTGCGCGGTAAGCGTGACCGCAGAACACAAAATTGATTTTCCTTCTTGGCGCGCACAGCAAAAAAAAAAACACACACACAAACCGTTTAGATTTGGATTCCACGCGTTTCCCATAGTGGAAGTGTGTAGTGAACATGATTTGGATTCGGTCGTCGACAATGGACGCCGTAAAGATTTGCTGGCACAAAATCAAATTAAAAAAATCCACCGACGACCAAAAACAACGTAGCGGTTCCGTTTTGTTCTACACAAATGACGACATCTCGTCTTGTAATTGATTTTCCATTCTCATTACATTGTTCTACTTGATCGTCCACTCATTTATGTCACACTGACTTCCTTTTTAACCTGTTACAAAAAAAAAACACCAGCCCATATTTCGATTGCAATAGGAACAACGGAAAAAAAAATCGAAACAAAGCTAAAATCGACTTAGATGTTGTGTTTTTTTTTTGCAACCGTAATGCGTATGGAAAATTATTATAAAACCGCATAAACCTTATAGGTAGTGATCGTGCAACAGTTTGGCCACAATAAGTTTGAACGTGCCTTTAAAAAAAAGTACAACGTTCCAAATGTATTATTGTATTATATATGTTAGGAGGGCAGATTAATGGTAAATGAATAAAGAAATAATATCGATCAATGCATCTACATTTTTGTATAATAGTACCCAGTAAAAGTACATTACCTTGAATAAAATTACAAACTAAAATCTTGATCCATCCAAATAATAGAAATTTCGCAGGGCTATAAAAATGTTGATAACATTCAATTGAAAATACTAATTATCAAGCGAATGATATTAAATGGAATTCATATTTAGGCGGGTGGTTATATTATAACAACAATTATTTATTAGTACAAAATATTACTAGTATCTACTATCTTAGAAGGTAATATATTTGAAAAAAAATGGCTTGAAACGACAATATTTAACTACAACATAAACATTTATAATTAAATACACAAAAATTCAAAATCAATATGCTCAACTTTTTTATGCACTTTTAAATGTTCGTTAGGTTCATATGATTTAAACCAAAATTTAATAAAGTTCTATATTTTACTTATTCCATGCTACTATCCAAATACTATATTATATTTTTAAAAAATAGTATACACTGCGTTGTAATAGTGAAACGTCCATAGGGAATATTAAGCTCAAGATATTTAGGCTTTTGAACGTACACCAGATTATCATTTCAATGAACAGGAATGAGTGAAGAAGAGTAGAGTGGGGGTGGGGGAAGGGAAGAGAGGCGATTCATTTTAAAAGAATCAGCTGATAAGAGATTATTGATCAAAAATCTACAGATTAAAGATTATTGATATGAGAATTGACTGATAGGCGAAGGGAGAGAATAGCGAGGACATAATATTCACGATTAAATGTGAAATTAACTAAAACAATACTTGCTATAAGACATAGAACCAATTCAACACTAATGTATGTTCAGTCCGTATTGTAGTTGGTACTTATTATTTGATTGTGGTAAAGGGTGGTTTTTAATATTTTATTACTCAACCAAAACCACAAGTTGTGCTCATTTGTTTTCCACGTGTTCAATTATTATTATATTTTTTTTTTATGTTCAACGCTAATCACAAATAAAATTGCTGTATTACAGATGATGAGTTGACCGCGGCGTACAATTCAGACGTGACAGACCGTTGCTGCGACGAGCATCCCGACATGTCGCCCTACTATTCAGTCGGCTGTCCCGCGTCTTACATGGGCGAGACCAACAAACCTCATACAGAAAGCACACCGCCACCTCGGCCTAGTACGTATACAACAAAACTTGGGACTAGGATACTTAAGAAAAACGGTAGACACAGTTCTTTCACACCATACACAACACGCATAATATAATAATAATATACATATTACACATTATAATGTGGATATGAGGGTGTGTGTTTGTGTGCGTACGTTATCCTCTTGCGAAGGTTTCTTTTTTTTTGGCTTATCCGTCCCTAAGGTACTAACAGTATCGGAACGCTTTGAGTAGAAAGTTCACCCGGCCCGTGACCTATTTTCGGGGAAAATCCGTTACAAAAGCCTTGTATTACGCTTTTCGATTTCAGTCGACAGCTTATTATTCAAACGGCGAACCCACAAGTTACAGCGGAAACCGTACAATGGTTACACGGTGAAACGTTTCATTGAAAACCCGGAAATTTACACGCAAATTCGTTTATTTTTTTTTTCAATAAAAAACGGTTAATCGTGTATTTGTTATTGGCACAATTCACTATTCAATTGGGTGCTCAGTCAAAATAATAACTAAATGTCCATGTTTATTACAAATCCATGTTTTTTCGAGTAATGTTAAATTATTATCGTTTTTGTGGTCGGAATATTTTGAGGAAAAAATGGTTAACAACCAAAATGACTTAACTCTTTTGGATTTTGAGTCACTTGTATGTTAGACTTTACCGTCCGGATGAGTTAAGCCCTCATTTTCGACAAAAATCTGACTCATTTTGACCGAACACCAATAATTATTTATACTATACAATACTTGTCAGTCGTGTTAGTAAGACGGTAGATTATTTAAGTTTTGAGTCTTAACTTAAAATATTATGTACTCCAAATTACAATAAGTTATGTGTATTTTATTTTTCCAGAAGATGAACAACCGCAGCTCAAGGCGACGTCTTCAGCGTCAGGTGCTGTTCAACCGAAACCAAACACAGTCTGTGATACAAACACGAGTACGGCTCAACCCAGATGTATAGTAGAAACGATTACCATGACCACGGTAACGGAAAGACAAATCGTGCAGGCGACCAAAAGGCCTGGGCAAGACGGTGCTTCGGAAGACGCTACGGCGGCTAAGCCAACGACGGCGGCGGCAACGGTTGTGGAGGACGCGTCAAAAACCGCAGGACCGGGTGCGTCGTCGGTACCGGCGGACGAAGGGTACGTGATAATTAGGCTAGGCAATAACACGATGGTGTACAATAACCGGAATCCTAATTCGGCTGTTCGTCAACTATTCCCGAGCACAAAGTTCGTCTGTCCGCCGACGCGCATCAAAGAGACCGACGACGCCCGACTGTTGAACAAGTACCTGATTACGGAGGATTCGTTGCGGGCTTTCGACAGCCGTACGTTGAACGGGTACAAAGAGCCTCAAAGCGACGACGACGACGACACCGGCACTTCCAGCAATCTGATCCGCCGAACCATTGAGCGGAGCACGTTGCGCCGGAACACGTCGGTCAAGAAAAATAATTTCGGCGACGCCAAGGAGATATCGCTGATCGAGAAGATCCGGAGACTGACGTGTGACAGCGACGAGGATCAGGAAGACCCCGCGAAGAAGGCGGACAAACGGCCAGACCCGCCGTATGCCGTATTGCTGCATTGTGAATCTTCGGCAACGGCGACGTCTGGCCCGGCGTATAAAAAACCACCCGACTCGGTTGGCAATAGCGGCGGTAATCGGTACGACCATGGTACGCCGGATCAACAGCAACCTTCGAACAAGCCGAATTTGTTGGACCTATGCGACGGACACTCGACTGTGACCTCTACCGGCAAAAAGCCACCGCCACCTCCGGTTCGGTCCAACTCGTCCGGTAAACCTTTTTTGACCACGCTGGCCACGGCGTGCGTGTCCGGCAACGTACATCCCTCCCCGCCGATCATGCAAGAGTCGCCGCCGCCGCAACAGCCACAGCAGTGTCCCCCGCAACCGGATGTGGTGGCCGGTACTCAACAACAGCCGTCGGCTTCTGGCCAGAGACAAGAAGAACTCGCCGCTTTTGTTCAACAAGACAGCGGCCGACTAGACAAAATCCGTAAGAGATACTTGCCGACTGGTGGGTCGAACGCCTCCAACGCCGCCGAAGACGAAGACGACGAGAACGACGATTACGGGTTCAACAGGAGACCAGAAGTGCACGGCATCCGGTCGGGATTTTCAGCTCAGATATTGATAAAAAATCAACCGCCACAACAGCGACCGGCCAACAGGCCTTACTACCCGACTGTTGACGGCCAACCCGATTTCGTACCTCAAAGATATCCGCCACCGCAGCCGACGGCCGTGGTGAAGGCGCGTATCCAGAGTGAGCGTCCGCCGCCACCGTCGTATCCTGCTGCGACGGCCGCCGCTCAGCGGTCCATCATCAGAGTGACTCATGGCCAACAACAGACCATCAGAGTGCCGTACCAAGCCGTCGGTCCCGTACAAGTCCATCTGTTGACTACGGCTGCCGCGGCGGCAGCGGCCGCTGGCCATCCCGTGGTCCGGCACCCAAACGAGTACATCGTCCACCAGCACGGCCATGCACGCATCCACCACGGTCAACAGTTTGTCATAGCTCGCGGCACCCAGACAGCGGCCATATCCACTACACGGTTCTACCAATTGCCTCCGCCGCCGCCGTCGACCATGCAACCAACATCTGCCATCGAAAGCCAACATCAACAACAGTTGTTTAAACAGACGTCGCCCACGCGGAGTAGGCAAGTACCACAAGAATTTAGCGACCACGACAATATATCTTCTGTCGCCCAAACGCCACCACCACCTCCACCAAAGAACCCAGTCATGTTTTACGGTATGAATGTTTAAGCTGCCGTTTAAGTGATGTTGTCCAAGACAAATAGTAAGATGTGTTAATTAACAAACCAGTAATTTTGATAAGCGTATCAACGAGAATGGGCAATTATAGTACAGTTTTCTTTTAACCAAATACAAAATACTTTTAATTCTAATGATAAATAAAGCTATAATTTATACTTATTAATAATAATCGTCTCTACAAATATCAGTTGTATAAAGTAAATAATACTTTGTAGTTGAATTAAATTAGGCGTAACAAATCGAAAGCTTCGGATTACGCTAAACATATAGATTTTTCTAAAATAATTTTGAATGTATGTATTAATCCGGTAAAAACGTACATGCTGCTTTAAAAGGATCTTTTTTTAAGTAATATAATTTTGATATTTTAAGACTTTAATACTAAAAAATATGATAGTTAAGTTTTCGGGTTACCAAATAATAATTTGACGATAAAAAAAAATAAGTTCTAGATAGCGATAAGAAAAAATTTGATTTTATGTCCAACAGTTCTGAAGTATTGTATTAGGAATACATTTTGTGTAAACAAATCGTGAAAAATGTTACTAATTACTTATAAATATATTGTAAAAAAAAAATTTGTTTTGCTAATATTACAAAAAATACTAATTATTAATATTTTTTTTATTTTAAAAATGTCGTAAAAAATATAAGCCAAAAAACATGTTTTTTTTAAAAAAAAAAAACGTTAAATCCTTGTATTGCAAGCATTCAAAAATCAATTGCGCGCAAGGGTTTAGGAAAATTAATTAAGTTATACGTAATCCGAAGCATGAACCTTATTTGAATCCATTAATGTAACAGTATATTATTAAACATGGATAGTATCCAAATAAATATAATTTCAGTTATAATATAACACCGTAAAACTTAATACATTATAAATAGGTAATAACAAATTGATGAAAAAGTATTTTGTATCCTAAAATATAAAGTATTGACACACAAAATACAAATTACTGAAAAGTATTTAAACTACTATGTCCATTTCTGATTTCGCTAAGCCGAGAAAATTTTTTTTTTTTTACTATTTTACTATTATTATTATTACTATTAATAAGAATTGGTGCATTCAGACAATTTAATCGCATATGTCTCTTTCACTAGAATGACTATGATAATCCATTTTTTTCTTCTATTTATTGACGATATCAGACACCCAAAGTACAACCGACACTACAATATTAATTCATAATTGATTTATGGATAACAATATGTGGCTGTTTTTTTTTCACCCCATCGCTCTTCCTTTATAGTTGTGTTAAGCTTTCGTCTCTATTTTTGCTTGTTATTCTATACGCAGAAAATTTAAAAACTTTTATTTTATCATTTTTTTGGTTGTATTCAATCGTTTATAGGAAATTATTAAATTCCTATGTCGTCACGTCTCTAAGAAAAACAATGTTTAGCTTAGGTTTCAACCTAGTATTTTTTTTTTTAATTGAGATATTTTAATCGAAAAATTAGTTATGACCATAAATGGTTCCAAATCTAAGAACTTTTGATTAAATATATTTTGTCTTCAATACCAGTAATGATCTCCTTTTTTGTCAGATAAACAAGAATTATTTCAAAATTGAGATTTTCGACGTCTGAAAGACAAGCCAAATAATATTGTTCATTTTCGTTTATACTTCTTAAAGAAAAAACAAATTATATTTTATAAACTTAAATACTTACAGACTGTGAAGAAAATTAAGGGTTGTGAAAATGTATTTATTATACGCCTGTAGATCCTTATAACTTACTTGTAATCATATCGAATATACGATTAATGGTTTACCAAATTTAAAACAAGTTCAACGTCTAGATAGCTAAAAAGGCACTTATTTTTATTTTATTAGAGTTGTTGTTATATTATTATTGTACATACCTACGGTTAAACGTTTATGTGAAACGGCCAGTTTTTGTAGTTTTCCGTTTTAAATTATAATGTTTAAAATTTAAGATTATATAATTATAAAATGGTTATGATGTATGTAGATTCACGAAGATAAAATTTTATTTAAAAACATGTAGTCCTCTTCTGACGAGTGTCATCTGTACCAGTGATAGTTTAGGGTCAAACTCGTTAGAAGGAATACTATTGTTTTTTTCTAATAATTATTTTCTTTTTTTGCTTATAATATAAAATAAAGGGTTGACTTTATCGGATCATCCAAATTTTTACTGTTTTGTCGGACGTATGGTTGTTATTAAACATATATACTAAAGACATAAATACATAAACACAAAACTAACACACATGTATATAGATCAAAAGATACGTAGATAAGAAAGTTAAATTATTTAGTAGAAATTATTTTTACCGTGATTTTGTAGATAAAATTATTCATTAACTGTTTAGAATTTATGAAAATATTGTTATTATTGCACCTCACAAAGAGGGCTACTGTTATAAAAAAAATGGGTTTTGAATAAAAATTGATTTGGTTACTCCATCCCAAATTCCAGAATCAATTAAGATACCATAGAATAATCATTTTAATTATTAAGATATTAAGTAATAGAAATCAAATTATATTTATTATAATTTATGGTTTTAAAATGATTTGGTTTTATCAAATATAAATTCCTGTGTATAGTAAATAATATATATATATATATATATATATATATATGTATACCTATATCTACACCAACGACGACAAGTTTGAATACGCTATTGAAATATTAATTATTATAAAAACCATTTTTTTATTACAATTTTTTTAAAAATAAATTATTCAAATACAGAAAAATTGTGTAAAATGAAAGCTTTATTTGTAGAAATAGGCGTGTTCAAACTTTTGGTGGGTTGTGTATAATATGCAAATATATTTATTTTTGTTTTAAACTTTTAAATTATGTATAATGATTGGTGCCAAATCTATTTTTGTTTGTAGAAAAAAAATGACATTATATAAATTATAAATATATTGTTAACCGAAATCTCAATAAAAGATTTTAATAAAATGTTTTAGATTATCTATAGTATAAATTTACATTATTTACCATTTAATGTAAAATGTTAGTCGACCGCCATGAATAATTTGAACTTTAGTTAATTTTCAATTATATGATCTGTGCATAATTTTGTTTTTTTCTAAGAAAATATAAATGTTGTTGTTAAAAAAAATTGTCAAGTACTGATTTATAATTATTTATTTATAATCATCATCGTTATCAAAATTGAAATATTAATCTAGTATAAAATATTCGTCTAGACAGATGGCATAAAAAATGGGTAAAAACATGATACGACTTACGAGCCGTACTAGTGTTGGTGAATTGTACACATTAAATAATACATTTTTTAAGCAATTCAATATCAGCAATAGATTAAAAATAGAAAAGGCGGTAAGTTCATTAATCAACATCTCTAAAAATAAATAGCGCGTACTTCTTAAACACTTTTTAGGAATAATGGATGCTTGAATAATCTGCTTCAAATAAAAATTATTATTTTTACACAAGACCGGACAAAGTTTAACGGGTATTGAATCCATTAGGCTTCGTTGATTATTGTTTAATTAAAAATTAAATACGTTTAAACTCGGCAGAGGATTTATTAAAAAAATCCGTTACGGCCATTACACAATATTAACAAACAGGCTAGTATCGCCGGGTTTGAACCTTTTATCAATTTTAACATTTTCAAAACAATAATAATAGGTAATAAAATGGTATTTAATTTAGGTATATTGTATTGTTAAATATTACGGTTAAAACATATTTACACTCATTAGTACGAGCGAAGCGAACGGTTTTTGTATAGGTAAAATGAATATGAGAAACTATGGTGTCAATCTATATTATAAAACTGTACAATTATATTTATCTATAACTCTACATCTCAAACTGCAAAAAGTGTTAATACACTAAACTCTGAAGAGTTTATAAAGGGCTTACCATACAATAGCGGAATCATATTTGTAGAGATAAAATATTAATCACAATAAATGTCGACATTTTGTTGTTTATAAGACAACTGTGTCGTTTGCTATTGTTTTGCTTTTGTTTACTACCCGTGTTGCGTGTTTAACGTCAGTAAAAATATATTGTTTAAAAAAATAATTGCTGCAAGGTATATTGCGCACCTATAAATGTTAATCAGTTATTATATTGACACTGCATGGTATGTTTATCATCTAAAAGGCAATTCGTTGTAAGTTTAATTATTTGTCCTTAATTAACCACACTTTATACTAGGTATATAGATACATAATAATTTAATGTAGCTAAAGAGGCAAACGAGATGATTCCAGTATTTTGTTTTTCTAATTTCCAATTTTTAAGAGTAGGTAGATTTTAACTTACTTGAAATTTGCAAGGCTAAATTCAACAACGTCGCATCTGTTTCAATACCCATAAAATAAAAAAAATTAGAAAACTGAGCAATCTACAAACTTATGTAACAATATTAGTCTCAGTCTCGGTAATCGAAACCGTGAATTCTGATTTTACATTATGCGTCACCCTGTATAAACTCTTAGCCTATTATGCCATCTTATCATAACCTTTAATTTCCTAATCACTTTATGCGATTTACATGAAATGTACAAAAGAAACGATTAGATTCAGCAAAGTGGTGGACTTCACAAAATCATTGAAAATGTTTTACACATTCCATAAATCAACAGATTTTTAGAAACATTTATTAAGACAAAATACCCACTTAATTTAATACAAATGTCAATAAATGAAAAAAGTCAAAAGGTTTGATGTATGATATGCCAATATTGAAATCCATAATACATGCTTGCACCAAAATAAAATAACAGCAGCTCAATTACTTCATAATTTTTAAACAGATATATTATCTAAAAATGGTATGGTAAATCAATTTTGTAACATAACCATTTTGAATAAAACATATCAGAAGTATAATAAACGTTAGAAGTTACAAATAAAAGAATATTGCAATAGCCTCGAATAAAACTGTGTTTTTGATTTATAAAAAAATGATGAAATTACTTCCAAGTATGGAATATAAAAAACTATGTTATTATTTTATACAAAGAAGGCATTGTTTACTGCAAAAAGGAGATATGTCCTTGAAATCCATTTAGATTATGATTAGATTATTTTTTTTCGGAGTATATTAAAATATAATAATTTTAAAGTTATAATACCTGTTCTTTATTATAAAATAAATGCAATTTGAAAACATTAATTAGATAGATGCTTGAATTTCGAAAAAAATAAAAGGGATACTTATTTTTATTAATATATTTTCTAATATAATATCACAAAATAAGTAATCTCTAATTTCATTTTTTAGTACCTTTGGAATTCGAGAAAAGAAGTTCCCAGAATTGTGTTATTAATTTACAACTGAAGTCTAATATATAAATTAATTCTCTGGAAGTTAGGAATTGAATAAATAAAATTAAAATAAAACTTTAAGTAAAAAAACTAACTCCTAATTCCATTTTATATGGTGTCCATCTAGAGCCCGGTATATTCGTATTACTTACTATTATAAAAAGTTGTACTTTCAAAATGAATACTAAATTTTCTACTAACTTAATAGTTAATACTTACAAATAAAATAAAATATTAAATAAGTTTTGATTTTCAAACATTAGTAATTAGGCATTACACGAATAATGGAATAAATAAAAAATTAATTTTTATTCAATAATTTATAGTTCTTTTAATTGTCACAAATTAATTTCGAATTCCTTATGAATTTTAAATTACTCGTTAATTATTTATTGAACATAATTATTTGCAGATATTTGGCTTTATTTGTTATCTTTTATTTATTTTTTGTAAGATATTATATACTTTTGTAAGTAGATAATAAATAAATATAATCTAAAATATTTAAAATAAGTGTATTATTTTAATTTAAAAAAATATTTTGTTTTATTTATTATTCATAAAGAAATGTAAAATTACTGAAGATTATATTTTACATAATATTAGTAATAATTGATATTAAAATTATACTTTATTTGTAGTTACTAAAATTATTCGTCCGATAAAAAAATATCTTTTATTCGTGATATACTAATGTTAAAGATGAATTATCTGTCATTTTATAATTATTATCTTGTTCAAAAATAGCATTCAACTAGGTATTTTGAACTACGTAATATTAATTATGGAACTGAAAATACTGGAACAGATTTTTCTATTTTTACTTACTCTCTATTCGGTAGTCGGATTTTTGTACTTTTATTAGATTAAGGTTCACATACTTTTTTAATTGTAGATCAATACAAACAAGTGAAGCCCTTTAAATATAAAATATTTAATCAAATGTAAGTGGTATATAAATTTCCGGCATGTTTTATCTTGTGATCAGAAGACAGAACTGACAATAAACAGACAGTAGCACTTTTTTTTGGAGCACTTACATAATATACATGTTAAACGTTTAATTTTTTTGGTTTAGATGGGTTTTTTTTTGTCACGTTTATCAATTTTTATAGTAGTAAAGAGTTAGCTTAAAATTTGCTCTGACTCTAAAAGTTATTTTCGAAGCGTCGCGTCGCAAGAAACAAACCTCTTTGGCAGTACTTAAATTGTTATATTCCCGTTTTCATTTAAACAAAATCGGTTAATTTGTTTGAATTGGAAGTGCTAACGAACCGCCATAGTAATTAATATACCTACAGATCGCATCGCAAATGAGACCAACGGGTTAATAAGGAGCCAGGAGACGAGAAATATAATATGAACAGTCGCTATATAGGTAGGTATTGTCAATTCTCAGTAATCAGTAGCAACAGCAACAGCAGCTGCCAATTCAATAGTTCACGGCTTTTGTTTATTAGCTTGGTGGGAGAAATTTAGTTCTCGTCCATACGGCCTGACTGTTAATTTGTCTTCTTTTTTTTCACTTGGCGGCAGTTTTCAAGAACACCATCAACATGTTCTTTTTCTTCTTTCGGTTTTGCCGAACGGTTACACAAATCGTGTCGTAGTTCTTGGAGAATAATTTTTTAAATAATACAATTTTTTTTTTCTTTCTATTTTTAGTGTTGTTCTTTTTTTCGCATCAATATTATATTATACCTCAGTACAGTTTTTTTTTTATAACATTGCTGTCTTTAAATATGAAGTTTTTAAAAATTTAGTGTCGACCATAAAACACTGCGGCGAAATATAAAACATATTAAAATTTTAAATTTATAAATTAATATCGGAAATTTTTTTTAAAAAAATATGCACGACCCAATATCCAGTCGGTCTACAACGTTACTATGTACCTGCATTGTTTTGTGTTTTCATCATGGCAGTAAGTACAACACAACCGTTTTGTTTTCTCAGTAATTAAAACTCGGATGGCTTGTTTTTCTCGACCACACTTATAAATTTAAAAAAAAACTAAGTACAATATTCAATTTCCGTATGTTGTACACGGGATATGTCTGTGTGTGTTGAATCAGCTTTTACACACACCATGACGCAACTAATTCGCATATTACAGCAAAAATCTTCACGTCTTAAATTTTTCTCAGAGCATGTACAAAAAATAACCAATTAAAAACAAAACGAACATACTAAAAGAAAAACCACCTACTCGGCTTGGCATCGAAGCTAAAAAAAAAAAGACCGCAGTGAAATCGTTGACATAATATATTACTACTATAGACATAAAATTTATATTATTTTTACGATATTATCATCAATTACTTCAGTTTACTTTTGGAGTAATTCACGTTTTTAATTTAGTAAAAGAACCATTTAGAAGAACATTGGTATACTAATTGTTGAACATGTGTACGCTGAGCAATCACATTCCAAATACAGTTATCTCGGTATCCCGTATCGCCTGGTCAAAATCGCTCGTGACCTCATCGACCGTTTAAATACACATAATAATTAATAAATGTACAAGGTGATTGGTTAAAATATTTAGTATAAGAATCTGTATGTATATATATAATTCATATGACATGCTACTTCATTATATATATATATATATATATATATATATATATAGTTGCAACTCGATCGATTCGCCATATTCCCAATATATAATTGTGAAATCAATACAGTCAACTTTGATGTAATTTGCAACATTTTTACAGCTTTTTCGATTAAAAATTATTTCATACTTCTAAATCTTGTTTAACTAGTTTTTACAGAATAACTAATTTTAACAAAAACAAAATTAAATAAATGTAACTCAATCGAAAAAAAAAATAAGGTAGATAATAGAAATAAGTAGGTAAATATTTTTTGAAAAGCTGATTATTATTTACCTAACATTAAGTTTTATTAAGTTTTACGTTTAAATGTTACATGCGTTGAAATTATAAAAAATTGTAGACCATTAAACAAAATATAAACACATGGTTAGGTATTTAACCAGATTACTTATCGGAGATGTATGATTGTTTATAGCTAAAATAATTACCTATGGCTTATCATAGTTAGGTTTCTAAATCATTGTCATGGTTAATATTCGAAAAAATGTATAGCAGTCATTTCAACTTCAAACTTATTATACATAGTTCTTTGTACGTTCTCAAATTATCAAATCTACGCCAGATTTTCCTTTGAGAAAATATAACGCTCTATAAATTTAAATGTAATACAATGTAAAAAACTTTCATCTATTATATTTATCCAAATCAATTGTTTACTCTTCTTGTCTTTACGCACAATTATACTATTCCATTATATATTAATAATAGAAATAATTTAAGTATAAAGAAGTTTAATAAAAATAAACAGTTTAATTTCGGTAATACAACTTCAATTATTCTATAAAATATATAAATATTAGAAAAAATACGCAAATATTAGGTTTTTTCATAATAGTTACAGTGTTTAGTAATATGATATGCATTTATTTTGGTGTTCATTAATACCTAATTATTTTTTGGTATTTACAATACAAAAATGTTCCATTAGAATGGAATAAACAACGTGATTCATTGACTATGGATCTGCATCAGGCAGGCGTTTACTAAACCGACTACATACGATTATATACTAATAAATCACAATTTAGAGATCACGAAAGTTTTCGAAAATGTTGAACTAACGACAAAAATAGTTTACGATAATATTCTCAATAAACAGTACATTATAATATTATGTTATTATCAAATTCTTAATTATTATAATCACTTTTAGCTCTCGTTTTGTGTAAACGTCAACTATTTAACAACCGTGCATAGGTCACAAGATAAATGATTTTGTGTAGGTAGGTACATAAATATGATTTTCTGTTGATTTCTAACTCTAATAGATACATAAAAATAGACAAACTATATTTATATATCGTATTTTATATTTAACATCAACACTCGAAAACGGCGAATTTAACGTAAGAAACATTATTAAATTATGTTTTTTGATAATAGTTTTATTTTTTTCAATATTCTTATTTTTATTAAAACAAATAAATAATAAAATGTGTACATGACCTAGAACCCCAATGTAATGTATGTAGAATGTCGAAAGGTTATGAATGATCATATTTTATAATGTTAACCATCAAACAGTACAAGTATTAGATGAATAGGTATTTATTATTCTACGTTTCCTTAAGACGTGACGTTTCTAATCAAACATTTCTTTCTAAAGAGTACCTTGCGTAGAAACACACATTGCATATTATATGCATTTTTTTATCTATTACAAAGTATTATGTATAAAAATGTAACGATTTAGATGTACAATCATTATACATATTTTAAGATGCTCATTGTAACGTAATAGTTTCATGTATTAATAACTTGAAATAATAGGGCCCTTTAACAAAAAACCTTTATAATATTTTGCTTCCATTATTTGTACATAAAAATATTTCCTATAAAAGTTTTACTGGATTTGATAATTTTCTAAGCGTGAATCTATACATACATTTTTTTTAGTACGTTATCCAATTAGATAAGTTAGGAAATAATAATGAATTATAACATGTCGACTTTAAAACTATAAAATAATGACATTTTAATAAGCAAAAATGAACAGATTATTGTTTTTTCTCCGAATAACATACTTTGCAGCTTATATCAGAAATATCTGTTTTTATTGATGAGTTGATAGGATTTTGGTTTTTATACGACTGAATAAAACAAACTTTAAGACACTGAGTCTTAAAACTATCCACGGAAAATTAAAACAAACCCTATTAGAATACACACATTTTCTACGTTCATAATACACAGGTAAGGAATTCTCCCCACAAGTCTGTATATTCACAATTTATGTAAGGTATATAGCTCCCCACAAAAATGCATCATGTGTGTCTATAATACACACACACACACGGTTATCAATGTAATAAAGTGCGATACCTACCTATTGGTTTAGTTACAACTTACACGCAAAGTAAAAAATATAATTATAAGATAATTATTATTAAGTAAAAATTCACTTAAGTCAATAAACGATGCTCAGGTTTTAGGCATCTTCGATGCGTACAAATGTCTTTCTTAAATTTACATCTTGCTTCACTACTTAGTACTTACGTTATATTGATCTACGTAAATATAATAAGAACTTACAAGATCTATATTTTACTTTACATAGATTTAAATGATAAATATTATTCAAGACATACAACATACTTGCTATGTTTTAAAAATAAATAAACCTTTATTTATTACGTTTATGAATATATAATAAAGAGTCGAACAAAATAAACCACCTACATTAGCTGGGGTTGACAATACTTTTTAACTGTATAAATAATCCTTTTTATAATTATTGTTTTAATAAGCATAACACCATAATATTTTTTACTAAGATAAAATAAAGTAAAGACTACAACATGATTCATAACTATTCATTAATAACTACATAAATAATAACTAATCATAAAAGTATCAAATAAAAGGTAAAATTGTATCATACGATAATGCAGTTTTTAACAATATAAAATTGTTTAGTATGAAATATTCTACAAAATGTATTAGTCAAGCCAAGGAGGTTCTTAAAAATGGTACAGTGTCATTATCATTAAATGTCGTGTGTTCAACATTTAATAAGCTGATAAATGTAATTTATTTAATTACTAGACCACACGTGTGCGCATAAAAACAAGTTTATATCGATATCATCTCTGTATCTCTTATATATCATTATTTAGAAGAACAATAACAATATGATAATAGGTTATATCATATTTATATATATTATATATATGTACCCATATTTAATATTGCATCCATATTACATGGTGTAGTTACATACATTAATTAAATAGTAACATTTTTAATGATATACGTGCATAGTTTACCGGTAATATATATTATTCAAATTATCGAGTAAAACTGATGTATCATGTGATGAGAACCAAAAGGGCATGCAAGTGACTTTTTTTTCAAAAACATGTTTTAGGTACTATTACACAAATTATGAGTGAGATCTTTATTTATAAGTGTTGGTTTTATAATTTTTCGACGATTTTTGAAAGAAGTATTAAAAAAAACTGATAATCATCATTTAAAAATACATTGACAATATAATTTTCAGTCTGCTTTCCTGTAAAATGTTGTAATAGTTATTAATAACTTTTTATTTTTTTTCCACTGGACTGATTGTTAACCGGTTGTAAATTTATTAGGCAATAAACGTACTCCATTTTTGTTAATTTATAATTGTTTTATTCTTTATTTTTTAACCTAAATTTTGGCATGATTTTTATTTTTTATGATTATTTATCTTATTTAATTATTTATACATGTTGTACAATTTTTTTTTAATATTGTATTTATATCAAAAATATATATTATTCCAAATAGGAATTGATAACATATTTCTAAAATACGTCATAGCTTTTAGAATTTACTTTTGAAGAAAAATGTTTTATTTTAATTTATATTTGTCGTATAATTAGTGTCAACATTGTGCGATAGTTCGTATCTTAGTAATTAAACGGTTATTTAATAATTGACTATTTTATTATGATTAAATGCAAATAGATAACGAGAAATGACTCGCCAATAGTTAAATACTTTTTTTATCCTTTTATATTTTTAATTCCAAGACATATAATTAATTTTTTCTATTAAAAATTTAACAATTTAATAATTGCAAATCACTGCATCGTTTTTTATGAATAATACATTTAAAAATATTATATGTTATTCAAAAATATGTAATTAAAAAAAAAGTAATTACCAATTAATTTTACAGTATTTTTAATGTTAATATTTGTTGACCCCTACAGGTACCATAGATCAAACATAGAAACTGTACCTATACTACCATAGTATGTATACAAAAAATGCACAGTTTAAAAAGATATTCATGTAATAGTATAATGTATTGTGTAAACATTTTTTTTGTATAATCTAATTATTTGTTGTGTACTTAGGTGTATATTTATCCACCTATAAAAGGATTTACTATGTATACAAATAAGGTCTTAGTCGAGTTCACGGACACTACGGTTGTACAGTGTAAACCTATAATCGTATGCTCATATTTATTTTCATTCGTATAAAATGATAATTCATAATGATTTTATTGGTCAATTGATTAAAATAACTAATAAGCGTTATTATATTGATTTTAACACACTTATTACAGTGAGTTAAAAGGTCGCTGTCTCATCATTTCGCCTAATGTATAATGTGTATAATGTATATACCTACACACATAGTTCAATTTCTAACGGTACTTCATAAAAAAGCATTGTTCAAAGTCAATACAAAATAGAAAAATGTAAAATATGAATTTATCATAGATCTATTTCATAACCAAAATCAAGTATAGCTTTACCCAAAGGTTAATGAATTTTTATACCTACATAATAGTGACCTTATGTTGTAAATGTAGAGCAACTATTTAATTTGTTTTCAATAATACAACTAGTGTGCTGAGATCACACACTGTCTTTGTATCTAAAATTTGAAAATCGAATTATTATTTATCGAAAAAAGCATAACAAATTTATTCTGTTTTATATTTGTTGATAGAACTCAAGTGAAATAATACGTCTCAATAATACAAAACCACTGCCACCGTTGTGCTTTTAAAATAGAAAAACTTATGCTACACGTGATTTCGCATGAGGACTTGCAAGCAATGTCATAGTTACTCGTTATATTATTATTAACTACATTGTTTTTATTAGTAGCGTTATTATTTTTAATACATATCAACAAAAATGTTATTATATCATACTATTTTTGTATTTAATGGCAACTGCGAATGAATGCGATAATAGTTTTTAAGTAGTTAAATGTCTTACTAAATCTAATCTCAACATACAAAGCCAATTTTCAATCTTCAATACAAATATTGATTATGGTATTTAGTGTAACGCGTTATGTTTTTGTCGCCTGTACTCTAATACAACCCAAATTTTATTTTATTGTTGGAACGCCATCTATTATAATTTATAATAATCTTAATATCTTAAATGTAAGCTTATCATCGCTAACATCAATGTAATTGTCTAAATAATTATTTCAAACAAACATTAATAATAACTTTGTATAGTTTATTTGAGATACCAACCAACAATCAGCTATAGGTAGCTTCAGGAAGGAGGGCTTTTAAATTAATTCTCTTGCTACATTTTCGACAAATATTTTTGTTTCTAAGTTATTCATTGGATTTGAATCTCTCTTCCACTTAACTTTTCATCCTACAGTATAGTGGTATATAGTTTATGGAAAAAACAAGGAACAAATAAATAACTCACAATTATAGCCTGCTGAAATATTTAAATTAAGTATATTGTTTTTTTGAAGTTTCACTACTACACATTTGTCTTAAAAATTATTTACCCAATAAGTTGCTAGAAGACACGAATGTCAGTAGTGTCACCCAACTGGGTATAGCCCTGGTATAAGCAATTTACCCAAAAAACATTGAGGGTGACAATCTCTAATCGCAGGATTAAACAAGGCCGCATAACACACTTATTTTTAATTATAAAAAATGAGCTTATTTTTTTCTAAACGTTTGGTCTCCCTACTAAAATTGAACTATTCTGCAAAAAACTTATTTTGATGAATTTTTATATTCAAATTAATAATAACTAGCATGTCAAATATATCTACATATAAATACCGTAAGCTGTTAATATAAACCAAAAATCCCTCATGGATTATCTCGTTTGTAGTAAATCCAAAGCATTGCAATTATTATTATACGGTGATAATATGTTATATTATTTTAATGCAGTTTTTGTTTAATAGTACTCTGTGGCACAGTTGCTCCTCCGGATGCCAATTATACGCCTCCATTAGAGTTCCCATCGGAAGGACGAATAAAAATATACCAAGCGTCAGACACGACTAATAACTTATCGGAAACTCCAATTATTTACTTTGGAACACCCGGGTCACAGACGAATGGTCCAACGAGAAAAGATCAAGAGGCCAATACAAGACAAGTCACCGGTAATTTTCCAGCACGGGCAGCACAACAAATTAACTTGTTCAGCATATCTAAAAATTACACTGAAAACACAATCAACAATAATGTTGTTGACAATAGTACATCTTCGGTTTGGTTCATTCTCATTGGATTCTTATCAACAGCTGTCATTTTCCTAATGTGTTACACGTATTACGTAAAACAACAAAAAAAGTAAGTTTTAGGACGTTATGGATAAAAAGTGCAATGATAAGGCTACTCATTTCCGACAGCATTATTACTTGTCACACTAGTTGTCATTTATGTACCTATTATAAAAAATAAAAAAAAACACGATGTTCTGTCCAACTTATAACACGTTTGGGCTAAGTATAACGATACTCGTCGTTGGGATGACTCTGCAATTAATGGCTAAAAAATTCGCAACTCTGACGAGCCGGGACTTTCCCTGGTTTACGTTGATAAATTCTGACATTATTTTACAGAATACCTGGAATTCCACTTTGTTTTGTCTTGCTGTGACGTCACTTTGTTTCTCGCTACTGTCACCTACCAACTTGAATATTTTAGTATAAGATCATGCGATTCCTTTCTGTTTTTCTTCAGCCCTTCTCCGATTCTCATTGTCAGTACCGTTAATTCGTATTATAAATCTCCCGTCGGTCCGGTTTCAAATTTCTTTTCTGATTTTCCTCGATCGTCACCTTCTCCCAGTTTTCATGGATAGTCTCCTTAGAGGTTTTCATTTCATTATTAGTAGTATTGAGTCAAATTAGTTTTGGCGATTATTAGTAGTATAAGTGAACTATTTATCGAAATAGAAGAATTCAATTTTAATTAAATATTTTATTGTAACAAAATACAGACATAAAATAATCAGCGTATGAATATAAAATACTAACGTTAAATAAGTATTGCCTACTAACTTTTTAGTTAATATAGACCAAATTTCTTAGAAATTTAATATATTATTGAAAAAATATAATTGTGAATCGTTTATTCTATGCTGATGCAAATCTTATCTAGTCTGCCACGTGGCTGGGGGTCGGCAGATATATTATAATACTTGTTGATACACCGGGGTTTTGTGTAGGCAAATTGCTTACACACCTGTATTCGGACGTCATTTAATAATGTAAAGGTGACCTAATAAAGGCCCGAGAAAGGTTTAAAATATGATTGTAACATTTCTTTAAGTTTTTTTTTATTATTTCTATTTAATTGACTAACACTACTGTACTTAAAAATTAGTAATACTGTTAATAATATAATTAATTTATAATACTGTATTTTAAGCGTCTTTAAAATTTTAAGATTGAGCAAATTGGTACTTGACCAATATTTTTTTAATACTTATAACAATACACTTATTTTTGAGTTAAGATTTTGGAAAAACTTGCCCATACCGAATCCCTTAATAAATTGAAAAATGTTCATAGGTGTGCAATGTATATCATCTTTGAGAAATATTCAGGGAGAAACAAAACAAAGTTTGAAAACGTTAATTTTTGTTTGTAACCTATGAACTTTTTTAGTTGGAACACATGTGTTAAACTTATGTAGAATATTATTTTATTAGATACAGTACTACCAATATAATAGTGAAAAATCAAGAAAATATCATTGAACCTTTCCTTTAAGAGTTGTGGAAACCTTTTTTTATTTTAGTCGTAGTTTTTGGACTCGAGGTCTGAAAATTAGACTAAAGGTACATTAGAGTGGCTCTCAACATAGACAACGTTTTCATAAATCTGCTGTCAAACATTTTACTTATTAAAGAAACCGAAAAAACTTTAAACAAATTAAATACGTGATTTCTTCCAAAACATAATATTGTTACAACTTTTTACCAATTTGTAAAATCTGTTAAATTTGTCAATTTAACAGACTTCCTATATTTTGAAATTGTAGTAAGTTTTTTTTTGTAAATTTAATTTATTAGTTTTTTTCAGTATTATAAATTTTCCAAACGACTAGTCAACAATTTCAGTTGATTATTCTTAGTTTACATTACTAACATGCATACGTTACTATTTTTATTTAAAATGTCTTTGTCTTGCTTTTTTTATTAAGGAATAATAATCAAAATATACAATTATAAACACATTTATGGCATATATAATGATTATATTTAATAGTTTTTCATCTACAGTTTTGCATTAAACTGCTTATTTAAAAGTTATCATTACATCAGTTTTAATTCATAACTCCCAAAGACCCGAGACCTCCCAGACTCTACTATATTCTGTCCCCACTGTGCTGACTTTTTGATATTAAAGGATTTAAAAAATACCAGGATAATTAGTTAAGTTCTGGCATATTTGAATGCATGCGAAATAGTAATTTCACATGAAATAGAAATTTCTATCTTCTAATATTTATTTTATCAATGATCTTATTTTAGTTTACTCACATATTGGTTGATGGATATGAAAGTATTGTCTACTTGTAAAAAAAGTACAAATAAATATTAAACAGTAATATATAACTCGTAAATAAAAATCATAATATGCTTAAAATAAAATTATGTAAATTATATTATATACAACGTAATGTGTACTTATGCAAATTAAACACTAAGTACATAAGATAATATTTTATTTTTTTTTTAGATTTAAACTGCCCAACCGAGAATTACTAGTTGAGGAATGTGAAGAAGCCATAATGAATGATTTAATACATCAAGTTCAACATGAATAATTGTTTGATTATTTTTATAAAGAAATATACATAAGTAAATGCAAAATTAACAATTTTTTTTTTTAACTGTATCGAAAAAAACTGTTTAGAACTAAGCTAAGTAACAAACTAAAAAGATGGTACATGATTTAGTAACAAGTACTAATAACAGAAAACCAAATTTACTTCTTTTTTATTAATAACGGTCCAACATTGTCTTGATGCATAATATTGTACTTAGCGTGGGCACCATCACAATAAGGGAATTTAGAACTACGCCAACAGCGACAAAATGCAGTACTATCCCCTAGTTCTTCAATGTCAAAGCCATCGACAACTTTAGGAGATTCCTTTTTTATTGCTGGGTTAACAGGCTATTAAAAAACAAAAGATATCTGTTTAATAAAAATAAACAGTAGAACATTCTTTTAGATTTAGATACACTTACATTTCTTGGTCGAATGAATCTATAGGAGACGTAACACACGCCCCCGATTGTGGCATAAAATGGGATTAGCTTTACAATATCAGTGACTGAAAATTGAACAACAAAACAGTTATAGTACAACTTAATTATATACATTTATTGTGTCATTATAATACTTATAAGCTATTACTTACTGCCTAATTTAAAAATACCAACAAATGAATTTGGCAATGGTAGGTTAGATAAATAATTGGCTAAATGTACTTTCACCAAGTTGGAAGTTATCTCCATTTTTTATTATTAACTATAATTACTCAACAATTATTCAAATTTATAAATATTATTAGCTAACAATTTAGTACAAACACAAAATTAAACTACAAAAAAAATTAAATAATATTTTGAACATAGGTCATCACCTGATATTTTAATGTGATCGCTTATTGGCCACAGACCATGGTTAGGTTAGATGGGTTTTTGACTTTTTTTTTATTTGTTTTGCTTCGAGTTATCAGCACTATACAGTGTGGCAACAGCAGCCCGCAAGGCTGATTTTTTTTATGCGTAGTACTATTGATAAGTGATAACGATTAAAGTTCAAATAATAGTATGCATGTTCGTGGTTCAAATCACAATAACATAGTTACATTTATTGTTAAAAAGGGAGTAGCACTTGTTTTACAAATGGTAATGTTCACACAATAGTTTTAATAATACGAGAGGATGCGTAAAAGAAGAGATAAGTACAATTAACTATTATTCTTAATCGATTACTATAACTAGTTTCCGTGCTCATACACTTCGATATTTATTAAGTTGGTAGCACTGGGACTTTATCTTGTAGTCAACTTTCAGCTGATTTGTCATCAACTCGAGAATCACCACGAAAGAAGTTTACTAGTTATTCCTAATACACGGTACAGCAGTACTGACCAAGTGCAATAAGAAGGATTAAGTATTATCTTAAATTATTATATTTAAAAAAAAACATTCGTTTAAATTAATATTTGTTTGTTTATTTATTTTATTTTTATTTTATTGTTTCATTGTTGATTTTACTTTGTAACAGTTCGAAATTTACAGCAAAAGACTCTATGTTTTTTTTATTGATTACGTTTTTTTAAAATGATGGTGTGTTGTGCTTCTGTTAAACGTACCTATTGTAATTGTTGTTGATAATGTACATGAAAGACAGAAACAAAATAAGATACAATGTAATTCTATAATATCGTTTGAGCACTATTAAAATTATCGTATACACTGTAACGGTATTGTTCTATTGCAACCCTTGAACGGAATATTTATCACTGGTCTTCATCATGGGGACTATAGCCACCGAAGAGTTTGATCTCATGAAGGATTCAAAATATCGAATGTGAGTAAATTTATTGCATCGTACTATATAGCTATTCCGTAGACACAAATTGATGCCGTTAATATTACTCACTGTGTACAATCTTGAGTGCTTATTGTATGAGTCATTGTGTTCTTTTACATGTGAGTTTATGAACACTGAAGTTGTTATAAGTAGTGAGACTAATTATAACAATACCAATACATATATATTAAACCAACTTTGTGATGATGTATTTGTTATAACAAATGACTTTTGAAATAATAGGAATATCTATATCATATTCAAAATATGTTGGCTAATAAATATTAACAAAAAATGCTTGTGTATGAGTCATACTCAAAACACCTAATATTTGATTACTCAATATGATAAAGATTAATTAAATGATTTCAAACTTTAAGGTATCCACCCAGTACCAACTATATATTAACTTTGTAAAATCATAAATTTACATTGTTATGTTTAAATTTGTTTAACTTTGTAATAAAATTAACAAGTAATATTATTCATTTTTTTTAAAAAGTTTGTGCTAAAAATTACTTTATGTGATATTGTTTAAGCAAAAAACATCCATTGTTAACTACTATTGGCATTGAATGCTTCTTAAAACAAAAGACCATAATACAAATATATAATTACTATTTTGTTTTATATGATATTTATTTTTGTACTATACTCAGTGCTCGAATTATGAAAAAAAGTAGGTGAAGTTTTTACTAAAAAAAAAAGTGTACCTGACATTTATTTTACCCCTAAAAAAACCAACACTTATAAAAATTAGTAGGGTACACTACAATTTTTACAAAAAAATAATGTTCTCAGTCCCCCCTCGTTCAATTTTGTATATTTTAGAATATATTATAAAAAAACATAGGAAAAGTCTTATTTAACAGTTTTTACTTAATTTTTGATAATATCTAAAACTAAATTCTGTATTGCTTATGGTATATTATTTCTTAAAAAATTCATATATATATATTATAGTCCAAGACAAAAAATTGTTTATTGTTACCCCTAAATCGTTTTTATTTGTTGAAAAGAAGAAATGTTCCTATAGAACCATATTTTAACCATTTGATTAACATATAAAAAATGTATTTTTCATTAAAATTGATTTAATTTTAAAACTCAAAAGTATTTTTTTTTTAATTAAAAAAAAAAGATTCTTAAAGCTGACACTTTCACCTTCAAAATGATTTACTAATTATTTGATTTTGTTAATTTTTATTGATAGAAACAATGGTTTAAAGATTTTTTATAAATACATTTTTAGCAGCGTTTATTGTTGAACTGACTAATTTTAAGTCAGTTGTAACTAATAAAAAAAACAGAGAAAACAATTCAAAGGCTGGAATTTTAAACATTTCTTCTTTTCGACAAATAAAAATTATTCAGGGGTAGCAAAATATTATGTTTATAATATTTAGAATGATAAAACAATTTTGCATCTTGGTATGTAGCAGCTGCTATTTCTTAAGTATCAAGATGTTTTAGTTTGTTTATATGCTAAAATTTCAATAAATAAATAAAATAATAAATTATTAAATAAATAAATAGCTTGAAAAACATCTTAGATTTATGAATTTTGGAAGATGACATTTTAAAACGTCTGATTCCTAAATAAAATACACTATTTAATTAGAAATTTACTGATGTGTGGTTATTACAGTACCAAATGAAAAGGAAAAACATTGAATGTCCCGTATTATATTTTTTATAATTGTTGTTGTATCAGCTGGCGAATTTATAGCAGAATACTGTAATATTATCTTGATGATACTGTAACTATTTTTAAACTTAAAAAAATATAGGTGTATAAAATCTTATGTTTGTTTTACATTGACTTAAACAAAACACTCCTTATAGTCATTTTTATGATAAACATAAAAACATATTTCATTTAAAGGTCTATTTAGCGTGGCATCTGATCTTAAATACAATAAGTTTTACCTAATTAAATATTTTTTTGTAACAACCATATAATATTTGTTATTTTTATTTAAAAAAATATTTTAATTATCATTTAGATTTAGGATTTGTGAAAAGTAGTAAATAATATGTAGTAAGCACTTAATTTTTGGTACCTTAAAATCGACTGCCCCAATGAAAAGGGCCGTATCTCGTTTTTTGCAACTTTTCAGGATGAACCAAACAAACATTCAAATTAAAATTGTTACTGTGTTTTTAACATATCAGTTTGAAAACAGAATAAGAATTTAAATTTGAATGTTTGTTTGGTTCATCCTGAAAAGTTGCAAAAAATGAGATACGACCCTTTTCGTTGGGGCAGTCGAAATATTAATTTAAAAGCTTGATAACTAAATAGTATTAAGATTTATGTAATAAAGATGAGCTGAAACCTTATGCCACTAGCAAGAAAAGTTTGGTAGCTTTAGCCTAAGGTCCAACCATAAAAATAGCATACTTATAAAATATCGTCTCGAAATAGCGTTATAAGTAATCATTTAAACTTTTAGTAATTCTAACAGTGTGTCTTAAATAACGGAAATAAAACTTATATCCAGTGCTAGAACTATATGAGAACACAAAGGTTAAGTTCTTCTACTATCTTTGAAATTCACTGTTTTGAATCCCTCAAATAATTTTTCATAGGAATGTAAAAGCCAATAAAACTAATTCTGGAATGACGTAGCCATAATTATCAGAAATATAAACACAATGCACTGTCTAGAAACTAATTTATCAGGGGAATAATTGGCTAAGTGTGCTTGGCGCTCACTGTTGATAGTTTGATCAAGGGCGCTCTGTTTATTTGCTGGGAGAAAAGCTGTCTGGTAAAAAGAACTGCCATACCTCTCTCCGGCGATAGACAGATGACCGTCCAGGATAGTAAATCTATTAGAAAACCTTCCAAGGACCTAACCTATCCTAACCATCTTAGGCATGCTTAAGCTGTTTCCGATAAGCACAATTTACAGTGTTTAAAAATAAAACACCTTCTGTGCTCCGCACCAAAGCTAAAAATATGCGATAAAAGTTAATTGACTTGCTTAGCTAAATGTAAATTTAACAATAAATGGTACTCAGTTATAGACACTGTACAGCTGCCAGAAAACAGTTCGCCATAGTGGTCAGTGTATGCAGTTTTAGTAGGATTTAATATGCGTATTATAGGTATTTCTTATAAAAAGCGCTATAATTGAAAAACTAATGCTTTTTATCTATAATATTTGTACATCAGATGTACATACATCTTGATCAGTATAGAAAACTACACTATCAAATTTAAAAATGTAAATATTAAATTTTTCAATGTTTTCTTATGGAAATAATAACTTTTGCTTCTGTACACTATAGTGATTTGAGTCCAAGTTTGTATCTATAAGAAAACCTGGGCACCATTAACGAGGGTCTAGAAAACAAAATTCCCCAAAAGTCGTGTGTTATAATTGTATGTTTCAAACAAAAATTGTAAAATATTACTTGCGGTCCTCTACTTTGTTTTTTTTTTTTCAATTTGAATACTGATAATGTATAACTATTAGTTGAAAAAATAAGTGCAACCGGCTAAGGGGAAAAATAGTACTTCTCTCAAATATATATTTACTGTATAATACTTAACTCAATGGTAATAATATGTATAATTCTAATAATTAAATAAGCTCTATTACCTACATAATTTTGTATTTTTTTTATCATTATATTTTATGTTTGCTTTCATGATGAAGGTCTTTCAATATTAAAACTCAAGTGCAAATTCTCAAGTTGTCAGAATTCTTTCAATTTTTTTTTTTAACTATTATTCTACTACTTGAGTTATATAAATTGATTTTTCAATGATTTATATTTTTAACCAGTTTCTAAAATCGTAATTATAAGACTATTATAACATCAGCTTGTTTAATATACAACTCTGTTTTAACGTCATTTGTCAAAATATAATATTTAAATAAAGAAATCACAAAAAAATTATCCTATCTAAAGCATTTAAAATCCTAGATAATTATGTTGGATTAGCGCATACGAACGTTACGTTACTGATTAAAAGTTAGTAAGAAAAAAAAACAGTATTTGCTGTTATTTTATTTACATACTATTTTCAGTAGAATTCAAGTACACATAATTTTAATTCAAATCATTATTTTATGTTGCACATTACCATAATGAAGTTTTGATCTTTTCTATATTGTTTTTAATCAGAATTATTTACTATAAATTTCAAGGTTATATTAATAATTTTTCTAATTGCAGCAATTGTTTTTTAAATTGAAATTATTCATATTGACTTAGTACTAAGATACAATGTAGTATTACCATTATTATCCGATTATATTCATATGTTGAAACTTGATTTAAAAAAGTAGCTTTTTAAAAAGGTAGTTAAAAAAAATTTAGTACTTATGCATGTGTTTGTTTTTAGGTATGTAAATGCTGTTGATAAAGCACTGAAAAGTTTCGAGTATACGAGTGAATGGGCAGACTTAATATCAGCATTAGGGAAACTTAACAAGGTAAATATTATATTTATATAATGTTTTTAATACTGAAATATTGAATTTATACTATATTATTATTTTACGCATTAGTATGTGGTATGTAGTTATTCTTACCACGATTTTATACAATACTTCTTAATCATGAATATTAAACACTACAATAAAACAAATTAATTTTAAACAGGTATTCCAGAGTGGTGATAGTCTTAACATAGTAATTGATAGCATAAAAAAATCGAAAAATGTTGGTATCGTATTTTCTATTAGATAAAACCAAATTTTTTAATAATATCTGAAACAAGTTTTCCAGTGTCAAAGAAAATAACAGACTCTATTTTTACTCTGTTAAGACTTAAGATATCTGATTGTTGCAAATAAAATATTAAAAATGACGAAGCCACACGAAAAAAAGCTATCAAACGTACTAATAAGACAATATTAATTGATTTGATGGATATCAATGTTTATTGTAATAATGCGGTTAATATTTTATGTAAACTAAAGATGATTCTAAAATCCTAAATATCCATTTATGGTACAAAAGCGATTTTTATTTGGAAAAACAGAATATCATTTTTTGCATGACCCTAGTTCGCATGTTCTCGAATTCGCCTGTACACTTAAGGAATACCAGACGAATACTATATCGATCTACAATGTAAACGCAAGGCATTATAGTATAAATTGTCTGCTATTAAAGTGTTTAAATGATAGAAACAAAATGTAATTGGTTTGCTTCCAAACTATATTCAAAGCAAAACGTGTTGAACAAAAGAGAAAATAATTGTTTATAAATTCGTTTGTATAATTATTTACAATCATAGTACAAATATAATAGTTAATAGTAAGACGCAGAAAATATGACATGGACTATAAAGAGTATACAACATATTTTGCTCGTGGTTGGTGTTATTCATCTTGTTGACATTTCCGTAAACAATTATTTTTATACAACATTGCTATTACAAATTTTACACTCGTTAGGTATTAATAATGTTTCCATTTTCTCAAGGAAGAGTTTATTGATATAATATTTACAAATAACATAATTTAATAAAATAATTTGCACGTTCGTATAGCACAGATAGTTGATCTGATAGTTTACTATCTTATACTTCTGAAGTTATCACGTGAACTTATCGAATTCGGCCCATTGTTATTAGTTATAATTTATAAATATTTATTTTGAAAAAAAAATTATTTTATACGTATTATAAAAAAAAAAAAAAAGAGTCTGTTTTGGCTTAAAATTCGCCCCTTCCTCCCTCCTTCAATGGTGAGCTATAAAAACCATCGTTGGCTACTGACTTGTATAATTTATATGTTTTAACTTGAGTAACAATATAATTTATTAACTTTTTTCATATTTATACTCTGTACGTTTATGTTACATATTATTTAAGGATAAATGTTGTAAACGGTATAACAAATTTTTTTTATAGATATTTACAATAAGTCACTAAATATGTCACTAAATTCTTGCTTGAACATTGTAATGGCGATTGGCAAACAAGGAATTTTTTTTTGTTGTCCTTAAATCTGATCATAAGTGTTTTCAACAATAAAATATCGTAACAATAACTTTTAAAAGTGTGTCCTTGATTTATTTTGGGGGACGCTTTATCTGCTCTGATCGTCCGTAGGTTAGTATTGACATTTTGCTACCATTTGTTTACACAAAAGACTTGAAAATGTATTATTGACAACTTAACAATAGTTTTTATTATAATATGCTTATTTTTTTTATTCCGTTTAATATTAAAGTTAAAGCAGTTTATGTATTGAATCAATAAGTCCAATCGATTTGTGCGTTTAAATGTTCAACAAAATAACAAGAAAAAAGTACCGTTTTTCTTCTCCGTTTTATCCTTTACATGACGTATATATATTTAATGTAGGTGTGTGTGTGTGTACAAGTGTAATCTTGATTTCCTGTAAGTGGGTACTGTTTTCCGTAGAAAAAAATAAGATATTGGAACAAAAGTTCCCATATCAGTAATGACAGAGCTACAATGAGTTCATTTTCGTAGTATTTTACACGCAATATATTATGTCTCACATTTGGTCATGACTCATGACTAAACTTATAACTTAAAAATGTTTTTTTTTAAATATCTAATACGTTTTTTTTTTATTACATTTCACCAATAAAAATCATTTAACGTATTGTTTATTTTAAATAATTTTTGTGATATTTCAACTTGAATGCTTAAATGATAATTTTTTGTAGTGGATGCCTAAATGAATTGTTCAAATTCGAATCTAGTGATTAAAAAAAAAAAATTTTTTAAGTTTTTGCATTTTAGTTTTAATATTACTGTTTTAACAATTGTGCCGTAATTTAAAGTTGGTTTATTCTAGAATTTAATTTGGTAAAAATTATTAAGCTTGTACTAATCATTAATACGTTGTTGTTTTATATTTTGACGTTTACCTAGATATTTTGTCCCTTTCGGATTGAGTAGGCGCTTAATAGACGACATTTTATGTTATAGTTCTATAGTTTGGTATGTGCACTACATAGTGTGTTATTTTATTTTTTGTGTTTGTTTAGAGCTCCTATTTTATTAGGAACACATAATTTTTCAGTGCCTTTGCGGGGTCAATGTAATAGGAAATCGATTGGTAACCTATGGCTTTTTTTGTTTAGATACTAAAGGGCGTTATAATTTTTCACTAACGCCAATGCTTTCAAAGTACGTTCCTATCGGAAAGTGAAAACCATTCACCCTGCAAATAAATACGTTTTTTTGCATTACAAAAATATTTTATCAGAATTGCCATTCCGTGACCAGTATTATTTCGTTTTATGTACTTGTATGATAAGTTTTATATTTTGATATGTACGTTGACTTTTAAGTGCACGTGACGGCTCGGGAGTTTTTTAAATTTACTTATAGTACATTAAAGTAAATCACAAAAAAAAAGTGTACATAACATTCACCTTGTACCGATTCTTATTACAAGCCTTCACATCTAAAATGAAATTGAATATTATACTCCTTTGCCTCTGTCTCTCGCCACCCACAGATTTTTTTCGTCTTTTTTTTTCTTATCAAAAATAACCTTGGATATTATGATAAATTGTCCCGTATAATATATTATATCTTTCATACTATTATCGTACACACCATGGTAGCAACTAGCAACGTTCTGGGACGTCGTTTTCGCATATAATGTGTAATAACTAATACATGCTTGTAAACTGCATTAGTAATGTATTTAAAACAAACCTTTTCCCTAGTCAAGGTACCGCCCAGAGTTATCATATAGTCGACAATTTGGCAATTTATCAAATTACTTTCTCGAGCATTTTTTTATTCGACCTTTCATCGCTCGACTACCGACATAATTTTCACACTCGGATCTTGGGGATGCTATCTTTATTGTTTTATTATTAAATTTTTGAATTACGACCTTTTATTATTAGATGTCATTCAATATGTATACGAAAAGCCGTAAACAAATGTATACTTTATTAATAATAAAGTCATATTATGGCAGTTATTAAACTATCACTTGGAGAACATTTCAGGGTCGACCGGCCTGACCCCAAGTGTAGATATATAGTATATAATATTATAATAGTCACGCTATCGAAACCGTCATCGCACGAAGTGCTGTCGTTATCATTAATGTTATTATTTATTTATTGTGATTTGGGTAAAAATTGAATTGTATTCGAATTTACATTGTATACATTGGAATTATTCAAAAATAATAATTATTAAAAAAAAAAAAGCTCAACCCAGTTAAGTTTATTGTGGTATGCATACCGCTTTGCCCCCGTATATAAAGGGTAAATACCGACATTTTGCTGGGTGGTTCGGATTTGGGTTTTTTGCCAACTGCAAAACGTTTTCCAAGTAATTTAATGAAGTCGTCGACAAACTACCCAATTTGCGATGTCTACGTAATAATATACTACACATTTTTCATCCCTAAAAATTTTTTTTAAAAAATAGTATACATATATTAGTAGTTTATACGAGTTAGATGTTATATTTTATATCTAACAATTTAATGTTTGTTATTAAAATTAAAATTTTTTTGGCTACATTTATTTTAATAAAGTTAAATATTTTTGACAGAAAATATTTGGTAGAGCGTTCATAATTTTTTAAAAATTGGCGCGTGTATTAACAACTTGCTAAATGGCAAAATTAAGGTCCTCGCTGCCAAAAAAAATTCTACCGGGCTACTCGATTTTGATGGGATATTTTTAGAAATAAAATTTGGAGCCACGCCTAACTCGAAATCAATATTGTTTTAAAAGTGAATGATTGGCGTTTCTTCGATGATGTTACACATTGTTTTATATTAATAATAATAAAATATAATATATTACGTAGTCGCTATTATATTATTACTTTTTTCATTTTTTAAAGACAATATTACCTATATGATATGACAAATACCTACTGTACTGTTTAATATTCTTATATTATGTTATAATAATGTTACAATACTGTTTCATCGCGTTGAGTTTAGATTTTAGTATTCAATACCATTATATATTTTATTTTTGTAGGGTTTTGACTTAAATCTATAATATTTTTTTTTTTCAATTTCAACTTAAAATACCATTTTTATATCCGATTTTATTAAAAAATATCTTTATTGACATTTTATTAGTTTTGATTTGTATTATCATTATAACTTTATTAAGTATTAAGCTTTTGACGTCATTGTATTTCAACCGGGAATTTGAATAAATTTAGGACTTGGGTATTAATTAGGAATTCTAGAAATGTATTATGACTAGAAAATGTTCTATAAAATATTTCCCAGGGAGTACAGAGATGGTTTAGTGACAAAATAATACATCTGAAAATTAGGAGGTCGTTAATTACATTTGTCGATATCTTCTAAGCCTACAATTAAACACACTTATTATGCTCGTATTGAATGGTATTTTGAACATAAGTATGTGTTCTAGTTTATTTCCCATATTTTTAAAACATAGTAATTATTGAATATTGGAATCGAGGAGGTTTTTATTTTCAACACAATGATTCATTATCTATTTCGTATGTTAAAATAATTGACCCAAATAGGTTATAATTTGGGACTGTTATTGTATGTGTAATCTTGTTTTTTTTTAATTAGGTACATTATTCTCTTTATATATTTTATTTTATTTTGTATATAATTTTTATTTTTGTGTGTGCACAGTTTCGGTTTGGATTTCCAAAACATTTGTTGGAGTTACGTTATCAGGTTACTTTCTTGATTTTTAAAAAATCAAGTTTAGCTATTTTTCTTTCCACTTGCAGATCTCCGACACCGATGAACGGATTTTGTTGTTTAGGGTCATATTAGAATCCTTAGCATGTAGAAGTACAGTGAAGAGTTTACTAACTTTAGTTCATTCACTACAGAGTTTTTAAGTTGTATATCATGAATAAATAAATAAAAAGTTGAAACATACTTATAAATATATTTTTAATTAAATTTATTAATTATCCAAAAATGAAATATCTAGAAAGTCTACATGCGGATCCCGATTTCGCAAGCGATATAATTATATCTAGTTTTTTGGGGTATAGTTTTCATTTGAAATATCGTTTTTAAACTATTTAATATTTAGTTTCGTAAAAAAATATTTATTTAATTTTATTTCAACAGTTTAAATAAAGGTTCTTAAAGCAATATTTTTAGTCGTTTTTAACATTTTTATTTTTTTTTTTAGTGTATTTTTTAAAGATTTTTAGGTCGTCAAGTTCGGGCCCTACTTATTATTAATGTAATTGTGTTTTCTTGGCAATATGGTCGTTGCTAGCGGCAATTTTGTTTTCTCTCGAAATGTCACTGACGATGCAATTCAATATAAAACTGCCCGCAAATGTCAATGTATAATCGTAACGACGTTTTATTTTTTTGTATTTATAGGTACTCCTAAGTTACACCAGATACCCAGTGGTCCCGAGAGGCATAAAGATCAGCAAACGTTTAGCACAATGCATGCATCACGCTCTGCCGTCCGGGGTTCACTTGAAGGCTCTAGAAACATATGACATCATATTCAAGTGTATGGGCACCAACCGACTGAGCCAAGACCTCTTTATTTATAGTGCAGGTTTGTCTCTCGAACATATTATTATTATTATTATTAGCACGTAATATCGCATAAACGATACAACGACTCAATTATAGTAATTACATTGACAACAATTGTCATTATTAACTAACGTAACGTGTTTGTTATAGGACTATTTCCAGTCATGGGTTACGCGGCCATGAACGTCAGGCCAGATCTTTTGAACATCTACGAAAATCATTTTGTACCGTTGGGCGAAAGATTAATACCCGGGTTGAACGGTTTTCTCAGTGGAGTTTTACTTGGCCTTGAGGAAGGCTCTGATTTTTTTGATAGGTTAGCGTTAAAAACGATTAATGATAACATTTTATAATAGCTTCGATGCGAAATTGAAAAGGTATCGGTTTTAAAACTATGTACATTGATATTTTTTAAATGTATTCTAAAATTTGCGTGTCTAGGCCAGCGATATCTTTTAAACCGCAGGAACGATTTCTTGATGTATCTATAGATCAGATCAGGTCCTCCAAGGGTAGGTACTTCATAAGGTCACGAATGAAAAGAGTTCCCTCTTTCCCTTTAAAATCTATGTACGCTTTTATAACTTAAATTCGGTATGCTTTTTGAAAAATGGTCGAATATTGTAACTGTACTACCAATGTACAATTAAAACCAAGAAAACAACTTTGAGATTTGAAAATTTGATTGAAGGTAGATCTAGTATGGCTCTACAAAATATTTTGTTTTTTTTTTTTCAAAAGTTTGTATCGACTCAATTTTTTTAATAAGCATAAGCCAAATCAATGTACAAACACAATAATTTCTATACAATTTAATATAGTTATTAGTTTATATTAATTAACATTATGATTTTCATAACAATAATTATTGTCTATACAATGGTTTATACATAGACAAAATTGAGTCACTATTGCAGAAATTTTATTTATAAGGAGGAATAAATTTAAACATTTAAATTTATCTTATTTTTTCCCCCAATAGGAAACTTTATTCATATTATTTAAATTCAATGTTACAGATAAACAAAAACAAAATTGAGAGAGTGCAGCAATATTTGGGTGGTTAGGCCCCTCTCCTCCCATTTCCACCTAAGACGTAATATTTATTTATTTCTGTTTTTGCCATCTATACTTTCGCATTGAAGCTGTTGTTTGAAAGTGATTTTAACACTTACAGTTGTTATGATAATTTCTGAGAAATTCTTCAGCACCAACATATGCACCGTTCCCACATTTATTATAATACACATTTTGTTATCATTCAATTTGCAGGACGAATCGTCTTTTGGACAACGTATGTGCCGGTGTCGGTGCTCGGATATTTTTTAGTCACCTTTGGGAATGTTTGGCTAACAATCTGGCCGTCCGACTCCCAGCAATATTATATGTATTATCTCGATTTGACCGAAAGTTACTAATAGAAAACCAAAGTCACATCATGGGCACTAACGTTGACACGATGGTGACAGCCATATGTGCTTGTGTACAAGATTCCATGGTTCTAGTACAAAGAAGTGGATTAGATTTGTTGTTAGTTGGGTTTCCAATGCATAATACACAATTGTCTAGAAGCGATATGATTCGTCTTGTCACAGCATCTTTAGTAACTATACTTCGTAGAGATATGTCCTTAAATAGGTACGTTTGTTGATTATTATACATTTTGATTTATGTCGAAAATGTGATTTATCTAATTGTTGTTTCTTGTTAGGCGGTTGTATGCGTGGCTTCTTGGAAACGAAGTTAATTTAACTCTATTGAGTCCAGAGCATCCATTGGTAGTATTAAGAAAAGCACGACAGTTCACTACTATAAAATATTTTGAAATGTATTCCAGAGACTTACTTGTACAGGTTTGTTACTATATATTACAATTACCTACTATAAATTGTTTATTGTAGACAGTGTTTTAATAATTATACTTGTGTCCTTATATTATTTTTATGGCCGTACAAGGCAATTACTATTTCTAATTATAAAAAATTGTCTATAATATTATTTTTAGGTGTTTTTTAATAAAAATACTTAACAAGTATTAATGCTATAATGTAAATGTTCAAAATCCAAAGTTTTTTTTTAATACTTAAGCATATTGTTTGCTGGGTTAATATTTCATAAATGTCGTTAAAATATAATTAAAACATTTATTCATTCTGCAAATAATTATTTTTTTAAATATTAAAAAAAAATATTTTAATAACATTTTTATTTTTATTTCTGTATGAGAAAAAATAAGGCGTGTTACGTTAATAAGTGTTACGTTTGGTTAAAATCTTAACACTTCAAGAGATCTTGCTTATTGAAAAATAACGTGTTTCACTGGTTTTAGGTAAACTTATACCATGTTTTTTTTTCAGGCTATTAAAATCAAACTTCATGAAGCTACGGGCAATCAACCTCACGATCTACGTCCATACAGACTACTGATATCCTTGTTAGATAAAACTGAAATTGGTCCTGTAATTCTAGACGATATATTATACGAGGTGTTTAGACTTCTATATTTATGTTGTCAAAAAGATACTAAAATTGACAAATCGTCAGAGCTAATCAAATCAGCAAATTTATTATTTAGCTCTTTAGAACCGAAATATTTATGGGAATATACGGGAAATATGTTTTCTAATGCGTGTCAGTCGCTGACTAAAGACGAGGAATGTGAAGGCTCGTTGGGTACCGTCAAACCAGTCGGTAGCGGTGACTTAACCCTGATTGAAATTTGTTCGTTAACAGATTTCTTACTAGATGCTATCTCGTTTGAAACGTTTACCGAAACTCCTAGTGAACACTTGCTCGAACTATTCATCCATATAGCGAGTACGTTGACGGACCATTGTGATATGTTGACTGCGGATCAGGCTAGCACATCGTTAATGCTGTTCTTGAAAATACTCTCTAAAGTCCAACCGACTTTGTTACCTCAGACAGACTTAGGGTACAGTTCAATGGATCAAACTATTGAACCACCAAAGAAAGCCACTGAGCCCGGGAAAATTGTTCAGTTAAACGTGGAAGTGCCAAAAATAAGTGGAGTCAAACGAGCGCCATCTCCAAAATCTAGGACTGCGTCAGACACTTCAAGTCTCCAATCGGAATCAACAATCGTAGCAGACACCCCTTCTTTAGATTTGCATTCAGACACCACTAGTGGAGTATTTGATGGTGATTCGATTAATTCTGCTATGATGGTACAACATTTTAATCATAAGGAACAACAAAGTATTTACAAATCATGCGTCAAACAATATGAGAAATTTTTCGTCACATTCGTCTATGGTGTACGAGCAAACATTGGTGAAACTAAAGGTTTATCAGTATTAATGGATGCATTAAAAGTGAAGTCCCCCCAAGCAACCGCCGAAGATAGAGCAAGGCAATTAGAAGAACTTTTAAAAACTGTACTTAACACCCAAAAACAATCAGTTGACGAAAACTATGAATACGAAGGTGCCGATGAACTATCACCTTTAACTATTTTAAATAATAAGCGCAGTGCTGGCCTTGAATGGACGAAACCTGTAATGTTGGCTTGTCGGGTGCTTGTTGATATATCAACGTTTCAAGCAATTCCTCTTTCCGACTCCACTCCGTCACTAATCAGTAACATTGATATGAAAGATTTGGACAACAATGTACTTCCTGAATGGTTAAAATTAATCATTGTGTGTTGCTGTTGGTTGGGAAATACAGCTCCTTCTCTACAATTAGTTACTATTGGCACTCTAGTGGATATAGTGGCTCTTTGTCGTAGTTCGCAACTGCGTTCTACATCAAACGAATCGAGAAACGGCGTAGTTTCATTAGTTCTATTGCCATTGTTGAAACCTGTACAACTGTATTACATTGAAAATCACACAAATGTTTTTCACGTGAGTAACTTGTTTGAAATAATTTTTTCAATTCAATTAAAATATTTAATGATTTTTAGGTTATTGCCCATTGGCTTTGGTTTCATTTAGCAAATCCACTGTATCAAGTCCGTTGCGTTGAATTGCTTTACCTATTACAGAGCTCTTTACATTCTAGTGATATTGTTGAAAACTGTATAGGTAAGCAGAGATGAGCATTATTCAATAAATTTTAAGTCAAATAACATCATTCAGATGTACAATTATGCATTTTATTCATGAATAACTTTATTAAATTTACAGTAAATTAATATATTTGTGACACATTTTTGCATTGTTAAAATCAATCAGTTGTATATAAAAAAAAATAACATTCTAAAAGTATACACATTCTTTTTTTTAAATAGGTGAAGAGTTAACATCCAGAAAGGCTTCGGATTTTCATAAATTGAATTCGTTTAGGAAGTTTTCTCTTTTGTGGCATGTTGGTCGAGAATTGGCAGCAAATTCTCAAAATGTTAGCGATATGTTTTATAAGTAAGTTAATTAAGTATTTAATAAAGAAATACGGAACAAATGCAGTTAAACACCCAAGATATTTTATTTTCATTTATCTACATGTTTTTCAAAATTACTTTTGTCAAATTTTAAAAATGTTTTTTTTAATATATCTTATTTTGTATAAAGAACTTAAAAAAATACAATATGAGAAGAAATTGAAAATCATACTTTTAAGTAATAAGCAAGACATTAAAAAAAAAATACAATATTAATTATAATTTGATTAACTTTTGTTTAAGTAAAAATGCTGGCTTTTTCTTAAAAATTTAATAACTGTCATAATTTAACATTATGAAAAATTTATTTTCAATCTACTTGTTTTTTTATTTTAATGTTTTTGGTTGAGGCAAAAGTTATCTATTATTTGTTTGTTTTCTCAAAATAGTTTTTTTTTGCATTATATCAAGAATTTAGAAACATTTATTTATTGATATTATGCAAGGAACAAAAATTCAAAAATATTTTAATTTTGATACTTTTTAACTTAAATGTTTTTTTTGGAAAATTAAGTTTTTTAAGTTATTGGTTCATAACTTAAGTTAACCACAACCAAGCAAAGTAATCAAGCTAGTTACAAGCAACCAAAATATTGTATTTTTCATGTACAAAATATTTGTCATAAATAGAAAAAAATTGCTTGGGAGTGGAAGCTAAATTGCATTTATGCCAAAAATAAACTTATGTCCCAAGTATTTATATGATGTTATCTATATGATTTTAGGTCAATGTTAAAAATGTTAGATAACTTGGAATTGGGTGAAAGAAATGCAATAAAAGTAGAAGCAGAAAGCTGGCTTTTACATTCGCTTTACAGAGGCGACATTGGCCGTCTGGTAGACCCTCTTATATTATTACTACTCGACCCCTGTACAGCAAGATTAAGTGTTCTTCATGCTAAAGTTACTCCAACACAATGTAACGAAGCACAGGATCATTCCGATACCAATTCCACCGACCCATCCGCCAAAATATATGCCATTAGTTCAGTTGATGGAAACACTATGTATCATGTTGCTGATAAATGCAAACAAGCAACAACTGTGGCTCCTAATCGAAGTAAACGTGTTTTCGCTATAACAACTTTAGCTGATCAAGATTCATCTAATCTCTTCAATCGTTATGTAACTGTCAAAAAATGTCAAATGATGACACGGTACGAACCATCAGTAGCAGAAATGTCAGAGTCTCATCATAAAAACATGTCTCTACTTCAAAATATTTCTGTTTTTGTCAATCCATTTTCTGTGGATCCTAATGTAACCAATAGCAATGAGTTTGATGAAGATTTTTCCGAAGAAAAAAAAGAGAGTACCCAGTACACATTAGAAATGTTGAATAAAATAAAACGATTTAAATCAAACGTTCAAAACACTGTACGTCGCTCGCCTAAGAGAAAACCTGAAAGTAAAAATGTTCAAAAATCAGTACAACGAACAGGATCATATTCATCACTTGATTCGATAAAAACTAACCCAGTCATGAACTCAACAACAATGATGTCATCTATTGATCTATTACATCTGTCGTCAATATCCGACACAATATTTGCCCGAGTAACTGATGGCGAAACTTATCGTAACAATATTCGAACATCAGCCTCGGCGACCGATATGAATGGTCATTACAATTTAGAGAATGAAAGCGATTTAGTTAGAAGTTATTCGTTTTGCGGAAATGAACAAATTAAAATAGACACAGACGAATCAACACCAGCCGATGAATATTTTGACCCTTCTAAATCTGACGAAATGTCTGTTATACGGGACGTACTTAATAGTGTTTTAGACGCAGTGGTCGATGAAACCATTGTTCCTTTGAATGACGAAGAAGAAGATGATTTGACTGAAGTCTCGGAATCAATCAAGGAAGATATTTCTATAGCGCCCCCAGAGTATAATATCGATGGAAATGTAAGAAATATACATTCTCATTTGTTGTTATATTGTGGAGTGTACGACGTCCAAAGGACATTGTACGCTTTTTGTACATTGACAAATATGTTGAAAACAAACGCTCGTGCACTTTTGTGTGCAGCCGCTACAACTTCTGTTCCAGTGAAATCTCAAATACTGAACCTTCTTTCTAGACACAGAAAGTCAATGTTTGGCAGAGGTTTTCACGGAGAAATCGATATGACTGGAATACCCTATAATCGAGGAAACAGCATGTACCTAGAGTTGCTTATATCAATGTGCCTTTATTACATAAGAAGTTACTATCCTAATTTGGGTCAGTCGAAAATTACGCAAGAAGACATTGCCGGCAATCGTCAAGTTCAAATGTCCAGTGTAGAACTATTAAGTCTGATATGTTTGGAATTAAGTGGCATCGTAAGGGACAGCGGCCGCGGCCTGGCTTGTTATTTGGCGGAATTGCTCGCTCGATGTAAGGCCCAAAAAGTGGCTTTGCACTGTTTGCTGAGTAGTGTACTAGAAAATTCAGGTCCGGAAATCAAAGCAACCAGCTTTACAGCTGAAATATTATCATTCAATAATCACGATCCTACTGACCAAGGAGCTATTGAGGGTAGGATGAACCGTGAATCCGAAGCGTTCCAAGCTTTGTTACTGCAACTTTTGCTATCGTTAATAATATTAGAGCACGAAGTAGACAACAGCCGGCATCGAGGTAACAATGTGTTGTCCGATACTCACACAGATATATCTGCTGATAATGTCGAAGGAACCGACGTACGATACTTATCTGGTAGACCGATTCCTATGCAACCCATGTTTGTAACCGCACTAGTTGCTGCTTTACACCCATCTGCTCGTATGAGACATTCCCACATCAACTGGACAACACTTGTGACGTCTGCATTACCATATCTGGGGCCAGCTTTAGTTAATGTCGTTACTGTTACTGTACGTCAATTGTGCGCAAATATTGAAACTCTAGCTGACGTCTACGCTGACAGTAGCAAAAATGTTAATTTGAGGTAACTATTAGTTATTGTAGTGTAGTCGTAAGGGTATACGGTTTGTGTACTCACCTTGCCACGTTTCTAAATGAAACAACAATATGACATATACATATATCATACAGTATACATGTGTATACTGTGTGTAGGAAAATCATGTACTCGATGAAATTCAGGGGGAAACAATATTCATTATGTGTACACCCTTATGACTACGCCACTAAATTTATAAAGTCTGGATACAAAATAATGATAAGGTTTAATAATTTTATCATTTTTTTTGTAGATTACCAGCAGATTATGCGATAACACAACTAGAAGCACTTACTATTCTATGTCATTTTTGTCTACTTGATACCGGACAACCGTTTAATAATCCATTAGATCAAAACTCTGGTGCAAATTCAAATACCCCAGCTCAACTTTTCAACAATCTCGTTCATGTATTTATACCCTCTCCTCTTTTAACCGTAATTATTACATTTTTTTTTTTTTTTTGTTACTAGTAATTTCTTTAGCCAGTTTAACGTTTTCCTCCTTACTTTTTAGCTACAAGATCAATCGTTAAATGACGAAAGTGAACCACAATTGGGAGTCAGGCGATCTCTGTTGGCCAGCTTACCGAGAATAGTAGCAAGTGTCTCATTATTGTGGAGAGCTTTGTGTACCGGTAAACAGAGGTACGTATTATGATTAAATTTCATTCTTGTTTTAATTTTATTTTTCTAAAATGTATTAATATTTTATTCTTAAAGTGAAAACAATGTAGCCGGATGTCCTAGGTTAGTAAAAGGTCAGCTATTAGAATTATTAAGCCCAATAGCGGAACACCACGGAAACAGCTTTTTGACTGCATTCTCAATTGTGTGGAAAGAAAGACGATCACGTTCATCCGTTATGTCTCCATCGGTAAGAATAAAATATTTTTTTAATTCAATAAATACATTGAATTTCATTTAATTGTGTTAATGCAGATTATTCCCGAAGCAACTGAAATGCAGTTAATACTAGTTCAGTTGTTAAGCTCTATAAAATCTATGCCGCTAGATTCTCTCATACAAACTATTCATCAAGTTGTTAAACAACCGTCTCTCAGTCAAGTGAGAATAATTATTCTTTTTATTTATTAATAGGGTATTAATTATTTTCTTTTTGTCAGGCGGGTCAGCAAGATACTCAGATTAGTATTGAAGTCAGTGTATTAGAACTATTTATTCATTACGTACAACTTGCTCCCTGTCACTATTTGGCTGAAACGTGGCCTTCACTTCTTGGACTACTGAAAGAAGGGTTAACACTGTCGCCACCTTCTCAGTTTATGTTGTTGTCCGTATTAAGTCAATTTGTACACAGAGCTCCTGCTCCGTTGGTCGAACGTAAAGATCAAAAAGAACTCCAAGATATCACGGCAAAGGTATATTGAAAACAATTTATAATTATTTATATAGTTTAATAAGATAAATTTTGTATTTTTTAGATGGTCGAAAGTTGTTCACAAATAGCAGGTGCTTGTTTGGAACAAAGTTCGTGGTTACGAAGAAATGTGTCTGTGAGGGAAGACGAATTATCTACGGCTATAACTGAAAAAGATATAGACAAAGGTAATTACTAATAATCAGTTTGGTATTACTTGATAATATTGAATTGCTTAAATCATTGTTTGTTTCTTTTCTAATTTTTTTATTATACTATACAAACTTTTAGTTGGAAGTGGTAGTGGAACTAACGCCCAGTATAGTATACCAGCCCAAAATGTTCTCGCACAACTCCTCGCCCCTCTTTTAGATATAACATTTGGTAATCAAGAAAAAGAGAGAGTGTGTACTATACTTACAATGGTAATGTACAATGTAACGCCTTACTTAAGGAACCATACGTAAGTTAACTTTAATGTTTTTAATTTAAATAATTAAATATTATTATAAACCATCAATTTTTTTATTTTTGTCTTGTATAATTTAGAAATAAAAATATGCCAAGTTTCTTTGCTTGTTCTCAAATTTTGGCCAGTATAAGTACCTATCAGTATACACGTAAAGCTTGGAAAAAAGACGCAATGGAGTTACTTCTTGATTCTACATTGTTCCAAATGGAAGACCGCAGCTTACAGTATTGGAAAGTTATTATTGATAATTTAATGTCGCAAGATACAACGACGTTCAGAGATTTTATGGGTATGTTTATAATTTTTTTTAATATCAATTTTCATACATACTTATATTAAATTGATTTTTGTATGTAATTTGTCTCTGATTGTTGAAGGTCGAGTGAATATGAGTCAAGCAAACTCGTTGAATTTGTTTTCCAATAGAGAACAAGAATACGAACAGCGAGCCCAATTATTAAAGCGGTTAGCGTTTGTTTTACTGTGTAGTGAAAAAGATCAATTCCATAAACATGTTCCTGAAATACAAGGTATATACATTGGTGTAGTTGTGTACACTAGCCACGGTACACGTGTACCTCGAGGCAGATGCACACTGCGTTTACTCTAGGGACAACACTACTGAACAAAACTAGAACATTATTATTTAACTTGAATATTCTTTATTACCTGTAGAAAGACTCGTTGACACGCTTCGAATGCCGAATTCGGGCCCGGGTATCCACGCTCAAGTGTTCCTATGCTTCAGGGTTTTATTGTTACGGATGTCCGGCCATCACATAACTTCCATGTGGCCAATTATTGTTAGTGAAATGGTTCAAGTCATGATTCACATTGAGCACAACTTGAGTACGGACACAGAAGAGTTCAGGTATTTAAAGACTATCAAATTCTTTTCAAAAAGAAAATAATTCTAATTTTCATTTTCAAAAAATAACATTTGTACTATTTTTTGGGGCATTTGGCTGTTCTTCCATTTTTTGGCTTATTGCAGGAGAAATACCAGGTATGTTTTAAGTACGCTTGTTGCTGGTTTGTCATGATGCTTTTATGTTGAGTGTCCTAATGTAGTTTCATTCATTATAATGTCGTAACATCTTATTATACCAAGGTTAAGTCAATGTCGCTGCTTTTTAATGTGTTTTTGGTGTCTTTAACTGATATTCTTCTATTTACCTACCTAATTTTTTTTTTACAAAAAAAAAACATAATTTAACTTAATTAAAACTAATAAGGCTAATGGTTTGGAAAAACCAGTAAAAATTAATCAGTGTTTCTTTTTTTCCAATAACCCACAATGTATCCATTCCTTGATTTCCCATTAATTATTATAGCAGTGAAGAATTGAATATGGCCGAGACTTCTCCTAAAGTGATTACATCATCAAGGAGGCGGAAAAAATGGAATCAACGAAACAAATATAATTTACAAGCTGCGGAAAATAAACAGAGTTCAGCAAATTCTAGAAAATCTACTGTCATTGCCAACCATTCGATAGAAAAGTAAGTTCTAATAATGATGAACAAAAAAAAAACACCGAATGAGGAAAAAAAAGAACACTTTTTAGTTTTTATAAAAGCATACTCAAAATAATATTCACTTGTTATTGTTGAAATGAGAATATCACTTAATCGATTGTATGTTGTTAAATTGTATTTATTAATTAATTGCATTCTAACTAAAAAAATAAATTAAAAAAATATTGACTTGACCTTGATCAATAACTTTAATTTTGGTGTGTGGAAAATATATACAATGTCAGTAGTCATTACATATTAGTTTAATTAGCTACCGGTATTTTTACATTTTTTTTTTGTAAATGAGTAATAATTTTAGTAGCCTCATCCAAAGAGTTCTAATATCTAATTGAATAAACTTATTTACAGATATAGTATCATAGAATTTACTATTCGAAACTTAATTGAAATCGCAAACAAACACTTACATAACAACTAAATTGTTTATTCTGGTATAAGAACATCTCTAAATGTAACCTAACCAACCACTTTTCTATGTATGAGTGTACACAATTTTGAGGTACTCATTTTGAATACACGAGTACATTGAAATGTGGGATGTGAATACTCACTACATATACCCTACAACTATGCCACTGCCTAAAATGTAAAGTTAATTTCAAAATAATTTTTTTTTTTAATTGTTTATGTTTAAAAGTTATAACAGCAATTCATAATTAATGTGAAAGAGAAAGTAAACTAATGAGTTAACCCTTAAAATGTAGACACCTTAGAATTCATTGAAAAACAAACATGTTTTTATTGACGTACTACTTATTTACATAATACTTTTTCAGTTATATATTACTAAAATAAAATTATTTGAAGAATTTGTTTGCACTATATTAAAGTATTAAGGTAATATGTAAACTAATATTACTAATGAGTACATTGTTACAATAAATTATTGCCACTAATTATTAAACCCGCTCATATATACATATTAATTTCGTACTATAAACGTTTGACTTGACATTTTGTTAAGTTAGATACTATTTTATCTACATTATTACTTTATCGCAGATCTACCATTTACGCTTATGGTTGCAGCAAATAGCATAGTGCATGATTTTTTTTTTATGATTATTTGTTTGTGATTTGATTAAAAGCATGAAGTTCAATTTATTATTTGTTTGTTAAAAAAAAAATGTCACAGTTATAATAACAATGAGTGCAAAATGTTTTACTTTAACATAATAAATTATATACTGACAAACATAGTCAATTGTAATTTGCATAAGTTTGTAGTAAAATCGATTAACTTGTTTTATCAATACGGTATATACAGTATAAATAGCCGGTAGTCTATTATTGTATAAAACAAGTTTTATAGAACATTAATGAACTTGAAAGACTGTCAAAAACCTTTTGTGTACTCTCATATTTTCATTTCAAAACCTATTTGTATGTTTTTTATTTATAGTTGTTAAAAATAAGATTTTTTTGTTAGAAATCATTAAAAGTTTTTGAATTAGTTTTAATTAGACTATAGTGTTTGATTATAAAAAAAAAAAAATACATAAAAAGTTATTATGTAATAAAAAGTCTTTTCGTTTAGTTACTATTTTATGTAGATGTATGTATTACATGGTTTTTTGAATTTCAGTTCTCATATACGGCTATTGTCGGGTCTCGATTGGACATGGGTTGTGAATAGTAACAACGGCCTTCATGCTACCGGTAATCCTCAATGGTTACAGCTACAGTTGGCTGCAGTAAAGCTCCTTAGCGTCGCCATTCAACTTCCCGCCGATATTCTACCTCAATTTCAAATGTAAGTCGATTTGTCTAATTTTTCATAAAAAAATATACAGTGGTGTCACTTATGAATTATGTGCTTAGGTACAAATGGGCTTTTGTCGGGCGACCGGAATTCACACCAAACGAGCAAAATTCAGTAGAATTTGTTCCCCACGTAATGAGGATAGCCAGGATAATGGATTCGAAGGTAAAATTTAGTAAATAGCAGACAACAATCTTAATCAAAATTTGATTTTAAGTGCTTGGTTAGAGGTATGTACTTTAACATATTAAAAGTCCCCATAGATTAGTCTAGTGCTAATCTATCTCAGTTTTTTTATAGCCTATACAAGTTCAACTTTTTAAAAAAATTTCCAATATTTTAAATAATCGATACAAATGTTGGAACAAAGTTATTCAAATTTTAATTTCCTAAAAATAATGTGTTTTTCATTTTTTTAATTAACCCAATCTATTTATTACAAGAGCTTAAAAAAACAAAATCGCGCCAGACTATTCTACGGAGACATTTATTAGGTTGATGTGCATTCTCCACCATAGCATTAAAAAAAAAATTATTTTTAGATGGGAATAATGTAATGGCCTGTTATGTATTTTTTAGCAAAAATTGATTGTGACTTCGTTGATACAGTCAACTTTTTATTGAATATTTTTAATGTATTATTTTTTTAATCAATTATAGTACGGAAGTCCAATAGAAGCATATCCTGATACATTATTGCCGACCGGTTCGTCAGCACGTTCGCTGCAAGACCTGCATCCGTTCTTTTCAGCCTTGAGCACCGGTGAACCCCACCCGTCCTTAAACAGTACCATTAGTCAACTAGAGCACGAGCTAGAGTTGGATTTCCTAGAGCCAATACCGTCCAGATAGGCAAATGTAAAAGACAGCCTGTACCTACGACAAACTGTGATGATGTTGTACATGTAAATAGAAAACTTAAGTTATTTTAAAACGTAAAATATATATATTAAAAAAAAAAAATTAATAATTTTAAATATTGTTATTTTTGCAATGATTGTTTAAATGTCATGAAATATTATTATTATTATTATTATGGTTTTTCTGATTGTTGAAGTTTTGTTTCTTTTTTATTTAAGAGTTGGTGATACGATCATTCCGTTTTAATTAGTGAAATGAATACGCATTAAAAATGCCTACTGCAATCCATAACATTATAATATATATATATATATATTTTTTTTTTTAACACTACTTAGTAAATTATTGTTGAAAAATACACTTGCTTCGAGCACATGAAACATTAACTTATTAAATTCTATGTTACCTGTTAATGTTGTTAAGTTTATCATGTTTAGGACCTCGATTAGTTTGTATGTATTGTCAATTGTCATTTATAATCGTTTAAACTGATAATATATCAATATATGTTAAAAAGTTCTAAATGGTTATATTTATAAATAATAATATGGCTTTCTATCAATTGGTTTTATTATTATTTTTTTTTTTTTTATAAATGTGATGTTCAGTTTATGAAACAATCTATGGTCTATACGTATATTTTCTACAAATGTTTCATTAGAATTATAGTTTTTTTACACAATCATTCCTTTTTTTCTTGAACAAATTTACACTTATATTTTTTCAATACACAGTGAATCATAAATTACCAGCCCTTTCACACACAATCAATACTGATGACTATTTTATAGTTCTTAAACTAACCCTTTTATTATTTTGAATTTTAGCGATTACATTGAAATTGCGCCATGTGTTGGCTATAACCTTAATAACACTCAAGCTTAATAGTGGCTGAATGTTATTGTCGAATCAGTTGCAAATTAAAAAAAAAACATAATGGGGTTTAATATAATATTAAATATTAATAACCAAATGATGTTTAATGTTGACAAAATACGACACATGAACAGAAAATATTGTTTTTATTACCCCCAAATTTTTTACTAAAAAAAAATATGTGTATTTCGAAAAAGGTCCGTTTTGCCTTACAATGGAATCACTGTGTCGATCTGTTTAATTATTCAATTTGTGAAGTCATTTAACACAAGTGAAAAAAGAACCTGTTAAACCAATATCTTCTCAGCTCTGCAACAAACCTGGTAAACTACAGTAGTTAACAGTAAACTTGAGTTTATTGATCAAAAATGATCTATATTATGTATATTTTCAATTTGATCATCTAATATATGTATTTGAATGGAATTTTCTGGAATAAAATATTTTTCTCGAATTGTACAATCAATTTACAGGTAAGTTAGCTAACACAAAGAATAAATTGGCAATGGGCGATTCAGTTAGTATTAACTATTTAGGTAGGTGTACAAAAATACTGACTTAATTTACCAAGGCTGAATACTTTTGAACGTTAGTATTATGATTTTAGAATTTAATTATGGCCTTTCAGGAAAACAAGTTCCTGCAAAACTTACATTTTTTACTTTAACCAATTTAATATTATTTATATAAATTAAACAATACTTTCGTTTGAAACGTAAACAATTAAATCTCTTTTTAGCTATCATAAAAAAAGTAAGTAGATTAAAATTTTTTTTTTCTATGTTAATGAAACGTTCCGGACAGGATAACTTGTTAAAACAAAATACATTTTTTTTATTATTGTATTCCCCGGACTTATTGTCATTATGGTTTTTATAAATTATTAACTTGTATCAATATTATTTTGATCATTTTTTTCAACTCGGTATTTTCATTATACCTACCCATTTCAGTTTTTTGAAATAACCGTTTTGGAATTTTCAGTGTTTAATAACAATTAAAACGTATAATATTGTTATGCTGTTGAAAGCAATGGCCTCTATACTTTAGATATTATACTCCATCTATACTACTCTATACTTAATACTTCCTCTGTAATGTTAAGCGAACACCTTACGTCGACTCGTAGCAACACCATAATACTCGGTAGTTGGTAAAACTGAATAATATAATATGCTAAATAAAAAAATGAAAAAACAAGCGCAGGTGGCTTTATGACTTACATTACATCACGTCGAGTTGGTATTTATAATTCATCGTTCCGCCGTGTAAATATAATTAAACAAAACGTGTTGTTGAAATTTACAAATCGACAATGCGCACGTAGGTACCTGCTTTAAAGTACCACAAACGTTTTTATATCGAAATCAAATTCAAATTTGGCGTTGCTAATAAGCTAGGTGGTTTACTATTTTGTTTAAAAAACAGACCCTAAACGAGCGGCAATTTGTCGTGAATAATTTATGACTATACATATAATTATTAATTATTATTATTATAGACGATTTTAATTGTTAAGGCAACACCTTAACCTCAACAGATGACATGCTACTGCAGTCTGCTCTAGAAAACGAAAATGAAACGAATTTGGCTTTTGAATAAACAGCAAATATGGGTATTCTACTATGTAAACGGTACCCCGAAACATAGTTTTTGGAGTTCAAATTACAAATATTTTCACTTAACCGACATTTTTGGTGACGTCGAAATTTATTGCAATCGCTTTCCAAAAAAATGTTGGCCAAGTAAACGATACAAATATTTCAACGCGCCATTCTTTCACTTGCCAAAAGCACTATTGTCGCACATATTACGCGTTTGATCTAAAATTACCGGATGACGTTTTTGATTACAATCTCAAAAGAACAATATATCGCAGCGAGGTAAGTGTACATGAGCACATCAGTGTTTCTATTAAGCTATATAGTCGATGGGGAAAAAAAATATTCTTGAAAAAACACACCTTTTGTCACACGGCGTACGCAAGATAAATATAGATCGTTGTGCAAAAAGTCTACAAATGACCTACTCGATTATAACTTTAAATGTTATGCGACCAAAAATAATTTAATTTCTGTCTGTAGTATATCCCTCGAAGCTTCAAAAAATAAGTATAAGAAGTAACTTTAAAAATTTGTTCTCCGACAAAAATGGAAGTTTAAATATCTTCATAACCGTTTGTATTTAAAAAAAAAATTCATAGTTTAATATCTCAACTGTTATGATAATATTATAATACATAATATATTACTTCTTCTTCTTCACAGCTTTTACAGTCCATTTAGATTTTAGGACTAAATATAATAATATATTATACTACAAATAACAAATTATTGTCATAGTTAGGCGGTTCATAGTCAATACCATACGAATAAATAAATAAAAGTTCAAAGTTAATAAAAAAAAATTACAAATTTAGATTGATTTTGTAGAATAACTAGGCTAATTATATTTGTCTTACACCGTACACGTCTACAGCCCGTACACTCTACTAATTGTTCACACGTAGACATTTCCGACATATGTCCGAAAACGACAGCACTCCAACCAAATAGATCCAAAGACATTAGTTATTCCGGTAATCGTTGCCAACGATGTGACTATGACACTTTGGAACCCCCTCTCGCCGCCACCACCACATCATATCAAATTATAATCACTTTTTCCTGCACCGCACGTCATACCATCTTTCAATGTCTGTGTGACTTCATCAGTCATTCATTCAGTTTTCAGCCGTCATCCTTTGCCCGTTATTGGCTAATCATACGTTTTCGCAGTAGTAGGTACATTATAATATGTGTTTTTTTAGTAATAATTATTAACAATGTCATTGTTTTCGGTGTTGTAAAAATACATTACATCGCTTTGTCTTTGCAGTGATACGGAGTACAGCCAACAGAACATCACGATAGGCATCACTTACAATGTCCTTAATTCAAATGAACAGTCAAAATTTGTGACACTAATTAAAGTTTATAATCAAAAGGTATGTGAACGAGTATCATTTTTGTATAATTATTATTATTAAACCGTATATAATACACGTAGTAGTAAGGTAACAACGTTAAATCCAAAATCGGTTTTACTAGGGCAATGCCACTTCTCGAATACTATTTAATAATTTAATTTATTAAATCAATACTTTTTTATTAGTCCAAATTAATTTTCATTGTCTTTCACTTTTTTCGCAGTGTAAATATGTTATAGTACCTAATCATGATGGCACATTTTGATTTAAAATATAAATAATAGGTATTTTGCATGTATGTTGTGTTTCTTGCTGGGTATTATGTTAAAAATATAACTTCTCATCTATTTTGCCCTGTTGTATTACATTTATTATATACATGTGATAGCATTTGCAATTATGAATTATTTATTTTTCGTAATATACATAAAGACATAGACAATTTCCTAAAGATAATTACTATTGTTTCTTTTTTTCACAGAAAAGTTATATACTTACATTTTTTATTTTTGACATTGAAACTTTAATAACGAGTGTACATTGCTTAGTAGTTAGTTACCTAGCTATAATATTATGGAACTAGTTATGAAGGTCTTACAATGTAAACCACTTTGACTAAACTAGTTAGTTTCATTTCATGTATTCATCTGACATAATATGTGGTTTTATTAAAATATTATATTTTATTTTAATTTAATTTTAAGTATATTATATTATTAATGTACCTTAATATTTTCAAATAATTAGAGTGTTGTATAACTATGTTATCGACTTACTTATTTAACAACAAACAATAATTCTATATAAACAATATATTACTACTTTATTTATACTAGTTAATACATCCTAATTAATATTAAATTATATTGAATTCTTATAGCCTAGGCAAAACTATAGTTACATTAATCATTAGCTATTTTCTTTTCTAGTAAGTAGTAATATTTAATGTCTGGATTAACATTTAAATTATTTTCATTTTAATGTATTTCCCAGAAATTAATTACTTTATAACCATAAAGAAAACGAACCAGACGAAGTACGATACTTCTCTTCAAATTATACAAGTAGGTGCCTTTTTGTAAGCCCACAAGGTCACATAACTTAGTCAACGAATAATTTATTTTAATGATATTGTATTATAATAAAATAATTTTATAAATATAATACTTTATAGATAGCATAATAACCTAATGAAAAGAATTAAAAAATTAAAATTTACTTATTTATATATTTCTTGAAATTTATATTTTAAAAAAATAAATTTTTTTGTTTTAATATTAATTAGTGTTTCACTAATAAATTTGATAAAACAGTTCTCTTTTCAAATATAGTAATTTTTTCATAGATTTGCATTAGGCTTAAGAAAAGAGCAGACGTTCATCACTACACCGCCTGCACGGTGTTACATATATATCAGTAGTGACCTGCAATTAATTCCTGCACTAGTGCCTATTCAACTCCCTTTAGTATTTGCTCAGGAACAAATATAATTTTTTCGGTCCTTAAATAGAATATGAGTAACATTGATAATTTCATATTCGGTCTCTATATTATATAATAGGATATATTTTACTGATACAAAGAAACATTATACATTTAATGTCAGTAAATATTTATGAATTGTACATTCTTTTACTATTATTAGATTCTTTTATTAGTTTGTTATTTTTCTGTTGAAACCATTGTTTAATGCATACTTTATTAACAATATTGTTTTTTTTTTTTAGGTAACTGAAAGAAAATGTTTCTTTGGGATTGGGTTACAGGTGTCTTGGGGTATTTAGGTAAGTCTTTTAGTAATTAATTAATGAAAATAAGATTGTTTATTAATGTTGTACATAAATTCTACTAGGCATCAGTTATACGTATAACTGTTAGGTTATACTTATTAAAACCAAGATATGTTCAAATTTAACAAAAAAACATATATTTATTCTGTTTAAAACTGATCATTTGTTATTGAACTACAATTAAACTCTGAAAAAAATTATTAATGTAAATTTATTGAGAGATAATCCAATAGACTATTTTGAATAAATTTGTATTGTATTAAAATACTGTCACATATTATGTGTGACATTATTATTTTTAACTTTTGTCCATTCATTTCACATCATTATTCGTTTATAATCTTTGATTTGCCTATATGACTTATTATTTTAAAAGTTTGTCAATGTAACTGTATTAATTATTACAATAATTTAATTGTACCTATATTATTTTTCAAATGATTAGTTGATTCTATTAATCAGGCGCGGATTCAGGATGTCTGATTGGGGGGGAGGCTATCAAATAATATCAATAGAGTATATCAGGGTTTACATGTTAACATTTTTTGAAATCAGGATAATTATGATTGAGACGAAGTTTACCTCGAAATTATTTATTAAAGTAAACCAAAATTGAAAATATTACGTGCAGACTATTGGTGCCCTAATTTTCATTATATTTTAGTTCCAAAAAGTAAACTTCAATAAATAATTAAAATTTTTACTGTAATAAATAAACAAAAACAAATTTTAATTAGAATTGACCGAAAACCAATATCATTTTTACAAAATATTATATAAAATATAGGAATATGTAATAAGAATAATTTTATGTTTTTCTCGTGCAAGTTTTGATATTATCCTATATAAGATAAAGTTAAATATAGTATTATTACTTTATATTTATAGTGTATACCTATAATAATTTTCACCAGCCTCTTTTTTTTTTAGATTTGGGGGGGGCATTGTTACCATGGCCTCCCCCTTGTATACGCGTCTGCTATTAATTTATAATAATAATATATTTTTTTTGCATCAGGATTATGGAAAAAATCAGGAAAATTACTTTTCCTCGGGTTAGACAATGCCGGAAAAACTACTCTGTTGCATATGCTAAAAGACGACCGTCTAGCTCAACACACACCTACATTACATCCAAGTACTTGACATTATACAATCGCACATTAATTTGTACGACTAACTAAACATATCTTTTCTATCGATTTATAGCGTCTGAAGAATTATCAGTCGGCAATATTAAATTTACAACGTTCGACTTGGGCGGCCATTCTCAAGCTCGAAGAGTGTGGAAAGATTATTTCCCGGCTGTAGACGCAATTGTCTTTTTGGTTGACGCATGCGATCGATCCAGAATAATGGAGAGCAAAGTAGAGTTGGACTCGCTTTTGCTCGATGAATCTTTGTCAAACTGTCCGGTGCTTGTTCTGGGCAATAAAATCGACAGACAAGGAGCGATTACTGAACCCGAATTGAGATCTGTTTTTGCTTTGAACCAAACTACAGGAAAGGTGTGTGAACATTTTCAATAATAATCATTAGGCCGATGTTGGCTAGTAGAGTGGTGTGGCCGTAGGGTATACACTTTTGATTACCTTAACATTTTTACTGAGTACACACATAATAGAAAAATGGGAATTTACGTACAGTGTTTACCCTTACGGCTTCGCCATCGAAAAAAATAAAACAATAGTTTAATTGATTGTACGCTTTTAGGGACGAGTGGCTCGAACAGAATTGCCGGGACGTCCGTTAGAAGTTTTTATGTGTTCGGTTTTAAAACGCCAAGGTTACGGAGAAGGATTTAGATGGTTAGCACAATATATCGATTAAGTCTCAATCGACTTTGTTTACATATATTTTTCAACAAATATATTTTTATTTTAAATTAATTATTCTTTTTTACTGTATTTGTTCCCTCAATAGTATAAATTATGCAAATATATAATGCCTTAAACTACAATCAAATAATTATTTATGTATAAAAAAAAAAAGATTTTCAGTTCTAGTGTTGAATGTATGTTATACTAGAAACGAACACATGTTTTGTTGTACCACATAATATTTTTTTATTTAGGTGTACAGTTAATAATAATAAATATAATCGATTATTTTTTTCAATCGTTTTATTTTTAGGTATAATAGATATATTTTTTTTATAAATATTGTGTTATGTGACTAGAAAAAAAAACCATGTGTAAAAATTATACAATCGAGAATTAAATTACGGTTTAATTCTAATAGTCTTATTTGTGAACATGTTCCAATAAATTGCATAATGCCGATATGTAACTTTGAGCCATTTGCAACGTCTCGTATTTTGAGAGTTTGTGGTCGTCCTCTGTTGTAGTTGGTATTGCTTCGCGTAACCGATCAAATGCCTCGTTCAATCCGTTCATCCGACGGCGTTCCCTGGCGTTAGCGGCCAGTCGTCTTCTCCGGGCCACAGTCGGAGATAGCGATTCTCTGCTACTTGGCCTCTTTGGGGTATTTGACGTTCTACGGTACAACAAATTGCAAACGACTGATAAGTTCTTTAAGAAAACAACTAAAACAATAGGTTGTCCAAACACTTGGGCGGGTGCAAATGTCATGAAACTCATAAATATTGAACAATGGCTTATAGAATGAAGTATGGTAATTTGTTTGTTTGGTATATTATCGGTGCAACACGATAAGTGGGTACTTACTTGGTATTATTGTATAGGCATACGTTTTTAACATCTTATTGTTCAATTGTTGAAGTATTCTAATACTTACAACCTAATCAATGCTACGTTCAGTACTGTGATAATGAAATCACTTAGAAAAAGTGGTTAAAAGTAATTAATGTATGCATATAAATTGCTAGGTATGAAGGCAATTTGTGTATTTATTATAATCTTGATATTGGGTTGTTTATTTATTACTCGATACTTAACAGATGATACCTATCATTAAAAAAAAAAAATTTGTGGAGGGGTACGGCATAATTGAGCCAGGACTGAAAATTATTTTGTTATTTGCGATTCGAAATAATTGTATCTGTTTGATAGTAATTAATGTATAATGTTTCTTGGCTGCGTTACACTTTTCTGCACAATTGTCAAATATTTTTAAATAGAATTATCTGTTATACTGTTTGTAGCCGTACCTATATTTAATGTTGGATTTTAAAACATTTCTTTGTATTCATTAGATTAGCATCTATTTAATCGACAATTTTTTTTTATGATTACTGTGACCATGATTAACTGTGGCTTTAAAATATTATTTAAAATGATTAATACATATTTAATCGAATTTCCTATTGTACCTATAATACTTAATGACGAAGGGGGTGGAAATGTTATTGACAAGGGCGGGAAAAACTTTGTCCTAAGCCCCTAGAATATTTTTTAATGGTTACCATGACAGTTGGAGCACGATAGTACCCAATTATGTATTTCAAATACTACAAAGCCGATAATAAACTTAGATACCTAATTTTTAAAGGTTGAAAGATGTTGGAAACAAAACTTAAAAAAGAGAATATTTTTTCACACAAAACATGGTATTTCTTTGTAGATAACTTGTATGCATTTTAGGTAAAATTTACTCTTCAAGACATGTAGGTACCTATTTTTTCTGAACTAGGCGATCCATATGGATTCTTTGTTGAACTATATTTTATTGTAATATAATATCCAAAATATAGTGTGAAAAACAAACTGTACCCACCCAAAGTATGAGCTGTCCCATTCGGGCGCACTGTTCGGTCTGGAAGGTGGCGATTGGACAGCAGTGTCTGAATGTTGGCCAGGACTGTCGTGCCAGTGATCGACGTTGAATATGCTCGGCGGGTGCTGCGGGTGTGTTCCGTACGGCGGCAACTGATGCTGTTCCGCCGCTACGGACAACTGTTGCCAGCAGTTCCAGTAGGCAGTAGATCCGGCGTCGCGGTGGTGCTGCGGCGATTCGGCCGAACCGTCGGAGTGTGCATGAGAATCGCTGGCCAACAACTGCAGTCCGTAACGGCCGCCGCCGCCAAACCCAGCGTGTGTGTTAGACGTGTGCACTAGATCCATTATTGCGCGTGATCATTTGCATGTTGCGAACCCGGTGCAATTTTAATTGCTCGACGGTTTAGTCTGTAATGGATATTTGTACAGAAAAACAAATTGTTTACTAATAATTTATATTTAACTGTCTAAATATTTATAGCGAAAAATTCTGCAAATAAACATTTTAGTACATTGTAAAATACTTCAAGAAAATCCATTACATTTTGTTATTATCCTCCAAAAAATCTAAATTAAACTACCACTTAACACAATTTATGAACTGCCAAAAAATGGGTGCAATTTTGAATTAAATAACAAGTGATAATTTGTAAATAAAAAATTGTTTTTTTTATAAAATCTCAAAAATATTTGATTTAAATGTATTTTAAATTGATAATGTATTTTTTGAACAATTCAAATAAATTGTTTTAAAAAATAACTACATGTTATCCGTTTGTTTATTATATAATGTATTGTAATATATAAAAAAGTTATCAAATTCAATTTTTGAAGTGAAAAAATAATTATTTATTTTAACGTTTGTTTAAATAATTTATGAACTTAAAATTACCATTTCTATTATTATCATTATTATTTAACAAGAATCAAAGTACATTTTATAGTCCATATTTTGATGAATCCTAATCTGGGAAAATATATATGTTATTATTTAGATAAATTTGATTTGATTTTATTAATTTATTTTTATTGATAAAAATTTAACAAATTATCTAAACCAGATAATTTAGAAATTTTCTTTGCCTAAAAAACATTAAAAACTTAAAATTAGCGTTACGTTAATTTTTATTTAAACAAATCTCTCGCTAAAAAATAAATGTAGGTATTTTGAAAATCAATAAATTTTAAATGTTTTTAGTATCCTAAGCCCTCCCTTCCCAAAATCTTTGCTCATGTATAAATTGTAAAGGATTACACCCACCCACCGTTGAATTTTTTTTTACTCTAAAATTAATTATGTCTATATACAATTTGATAGGTGTAGTAACCGGATTTTTTTTACAAAAAATATGTGTAGGTGTAAAATGACCTCTTAAAAAAAAAAAAAAATTATTCGAATGAAAATTAAACATCAATTACAATATTCATTTTTAGTTGTAATTCAGGCCAACCGAATACAATTGGCAATTGCATAATGCAATTTTATTTATTATTACAATTAAATTATTTTAATTTTAATAATACTCTATGCGAATGCTGGTTGTTTTTTATTAATTTAAAGTAAAAAATAGATTTTTTTTTTTACGAAGTCCGATGTGTAATTAGTTTAATTAAAAATAAAAATGTATTATATTAACACTACAAGTAAATCAATTGATTGTCGAGCGACGGCCGATCGAAACCGGCGGTATAAATACCTGTTGTGGCGGCGAGTGCACACGTACGTCGCTGGCCGTCTACCCTTGTGTATAGCTGCAATTCACGGCGCGGAAGAGAGGAGTGAGTTCCGGATGGCACGAGTCCCAAACGCTCATTGAAGGGCACGCGCGGCCACAGACAACATATGGCATCTGTACACGAGCCGCTTAGATCTCCTATCTCGTTGGACGGTCATTACAAAAAATTATTATACACATATAATACAACGTTAACCCCTCCTACGTCGTGTGACTTCATCCCCCAAAGTAAAAAAAAAACAGAAATATATTTCAAACGGTCTAACGGTTTCTTTACCCAAAAGTACTTACTTGTTAAGTGTGCGCGGCCAAGACGTGTGTGTGTGTGTGTGTGTGACTGCAATTATTATAAGTATGTTTTCATTGTATATAATTTTTTTGTTTAATTGAAGGTTGAGATATTATTTTGCATACATTCACCACCGTCAATTATAATTATTATATCGGTATGGAGACCCCGTATACTACCTCTATATAGGTATTGTATTTTTATCCCGTGCCGAAAACGCAATAGTATAATAATTATTTATATTATGTTATAATGTACGGCCAGATGTTGGCATATACGACGCGCAGTGGTCCTGTACATGGAAATATATTATACACTACCTATTAAGAAGAATATTATGTAAAAGGTAGAGGTACGCGGCCAGAATAATATACTTTGCGCGAAAAACACCCTCCTTATACGAATCCGCCCTTGTCTGTTTGCTGGCAGAGAAAAATGAGTTTAGACCCAAATCAAAACTCAAACCAGAAAACCTTAACGTCTTCATTAATAACAACGTACCTACCTAAAATAATATGTATATCAACGTGTGTATCATTATTGTTATACCTACAAGTTGGCTGGTACCGAAAGTAATATTTTATATAAAAAAAAAAAAATGTAGGTAAATAATTATATACCTACTTAAACGAGATCTTAATTAATTGGCTTATTTATCGGCAAACCCCGGGCAACAGACGGATATCGGGTTTGAATTATTTTAGCTCTCCATAGTGGACGATTTAAATTAGTCAATGATAATTAATATAATCACATATTATTATGTTCAAATGAATATATTATTGGGGAAAATACGCACCAGTGATAAGTACCAATATTGGATTTTGTTTTAAATAGGTAAAGAAAGGCAGTAAAATATGGAAAAGTAAAAAATACTTTTAATAGTAAATACGTATTATTGTTGATTAATATTACAGTTTGAACTTGTAAAAAATTAAAATTGTCTATTTAACCAAGAATTTGTGTAATAGGTATTTTTAAAAAAATATATTCCCGCAGGCTTACAAATTGGCGCAACTAGTGAGGGGGTTAAGGAAGTTCAAACGTTTTAAAAAATTTGAAAGCTCCCCCAGAATTTCAGTAAAAATTATAAACCTTACTCGGGGACTGTGCCTGATTGGTTGCTGACATTTTTTAAGAGCCTGTACAAGTTTAAAAGAATTTGAACTTCTCTAGCCCCCTCTAGTTGCGCCATTGGGCTTATATTTCTAATTTTTAAAACTCTTAAATTCCTTCACCATTTAAATCTGATAATAACAGCTGTTATAAACGTGTCAACAAGTAATATATTAATTAGTTTCGCTGCCAGATCGTTTGCTTATCTCGATAGAACAATTTTTTTTCTGTGAAGTACAGTGTTATAATATATTTATGTAACACGCTTATAGGTATTGTATATGCGTGACACAAGACAGTATTTAGTTTGTACATATTATTACATTATTTAGCGCCGTGTATTTGGTCACGTAGTTTTATAATAAAATTCGCACCACCTACTTCAAGAGAATTTTCAAGTGTCTTTTTAGAAGAGAGCTTTGGTATATATATTTTTTTAATTTGATCGTTTCTAAAAAAAAAAAAATGTTGATAAAGCTTAAATTAATATTGGTGTGTACATAAAATGATTACAAAATAGGTTCTTAAACTTTGATGTAATGCGATTATTGTGAACCGATAAAAATTGATAGGTAATAATTATAATATACAGCATGTCTAATGTTGTTAGGACTAATCGATATGAGGAATGATCAACACAACGTTAGGCGAAATACTATTATCTTATATTAAACTTTGGGTTAGGTTCTATAAACTATTACCTATGATAATTATTACTATGCGGTGTGAGTTGTGACTCATATATATATATATATTTTTTACTTCGCATATTATTATTAGTATGTTTAAAAAAAAACTATGGACTTTGTTCGTAACAATCAAGATTAGGAGATTTACGAATAGAATATAAATATTGGTATACACAATATGTAAATAATAATTACTTTTTACGGAATAATAGGAGTTGTATCACGTAGATTACAATAATTATTTAAGCAGTTCTCGCAATGGAGGTTTCCCCTAGTAATCACAACATGTTTGTAATAATTATTTAGGTATTTAATTGATAATAATAATAACAGAATATTCATATAATTAACACAATGATTTCAGTAAAAGTATTTACATCATACAGTTATTAATAATTTATTATTATGTAATCTATATTTCAGCGGCAATTGTAGTAGACACCGTCTTAAAAAAAAACATTAGTATTAATACTGAATGTGCCTAATACTGTATAAAAAATATGCCGATGATCTAAGTTTTTACTTGTATTGCTCTTAAAATCAAAACAGAAAAATATTGGCACTCACAAAACAAGTATTTGGATTATGTTTCAAATTTAGGATATCCATCTTGGTATTTAACTATAGTTTCTAAGATAAATGGCGTAGTTCGTTCACCACACTAATAAAATATAAATTAAACAATGTTGCCATCGAAAAAAATTAATCAAACTATTGTATTACGAATACAATCCATCTATTAGATGTTTGATTTTTTAATTATGTGTTTTCTTGTCTGTGTTATTCATAGATCATATTTGGAGGATGACAACGGTTGAGATTTGGCTGTCCTATTTTTGTGTTCATTAGTATGCCAAGAGTGTTCATTTATTTAATTATTAAGTCGTATATTAATCTGATCAGTGGTGTAACTTGGAGTACATCCATAAAAACAGACTGAAGTAGATAAATTTTTTTTAATTTTCTTCGCCGATACAAAAAAAAAAAGAAAGGGAAATCCGATAATATTAAAAGAACGTGTAACAAATTTCGGTATAATAATAGCTAGCCTTAGATACTACAAAACTTAAAAATGAATAGTGGTAATTTTTAATAGGTACTTTAAACAAATATCTATACATACTTTTGAATAAAAAAAAACAAGTAGCTATTTTCAGCGTAAAATCGTTAGGAAAATGCATAAAAAAGAATAATAGTTAACTTAAAACATGTTTCAATTTTAATATAATAATACATGAATATTATAGTAGATATAAAAAGAAAAAATTGTGAGTATAAAGTAAAATTATTAATTTTTATTAATTATTAACAATTAATATAAAAAAAAAGCCCGTCAGAAAATAGAATGGATTTTTTCCAGCAAAATTGATTTCAAACGTGGACTAAATCATTTTAGGAGGACGTGTTTCATGATAATATTTCTAACACCGAATCCAAAATAAGCTAAGGATTTTCGGTGTACTTTAACCTAACCTGAATCTATTTAAACACGAACTGGTGACGACGGTATACAACCGTATATTATATATGGAACAATAAAACCCACAACAGCTATTATGCACCCGTTAACGATATTTGGCGAAAACCGCTGCAGGTATCATCTCTTTGGCAATTTATTACATCTAGTTAAATGCCCTTTTCACACACACACACAACACGAGTCGCCTGGTCCCTATTGTTTTATATACACTGTTACCTATACCGCGTATGATATTATTTAATATTACATTTCCCTCCCTCCGAAAAAACCATCTTTATCCTGTTGCCGCCGGTGGGCGTACGGTGGCGGTTTATGTTATAGACAAAAATAATAATTGCCTACATGTCATTATAAAACCGTCGCTCCTCGATCGACCTTAGATAAGCTTATGTATTATACCTATAGATTCTCATTGGTTTTTTTTTTTTTAACGTGCACACTATATATTTTTTGACCATATAAATGTATAATTCATGTGTCTAATTATGATAATGACTGTGGTGGCGGGGGTGGCAGCTGGTGCGACGCGTGCCCCGAGGAAAAAACCGGTTCATCAAAACGCGCCTGATGCTACACTTTTTTTTTGCGGTATAAATTAAAATGTGTCGTTGGTATAATAATGTATGTTGTGTGTATGTTTTAATATTTTAACCGAAAAACCGTGTAGGAGATGTAACGGCGATCCTTGAACCCTACAAGGAACGAGGCTATAGATAGTGTGTGGCTATTTGACGCCACACATATGTATTATAAACGTACACCTACTTGATATTTATAATATAATCACACGAGGCAATTATTATAGTTTTAGTAAAATACCGTGTTGAATTGACGGAGATGATAGCATTATTTCGATAATTGAAGGGGTGGGGTGAGTGGAGGACAAAGGTGTTGAATGACATTTTTGGTAAAATAGTTTTTGGTTTGAATAGTTGTTATAAAAATAGTTTGAACGAATGAAAATGTTAGGATAAATTACACAATTTAGCAAAATATTTTAACAATTGAATGTGTGTTGAGCTTAGAAATTAAAAAAAGTTTTAAGCCTTTGAATATATTTATATATATTGACTAAAATGTTGCCTCATGAACAGTTTTGAAATAGACAGTTAACATCTTTGTCCACTCACCCCTTCAATTGGAGTATTTCAAAATAGGTAGGTGGTCAACTAACGGGGCCTATCATTCTTATAGTAAGTATGGATAACAAAGATATTATTAAATTTTATTTATTTAAAGCCGGTATAGTGGGGTCGATGTATATATTGTTTTGATTATAATATTATATAAACTACACGTATAAACCACACATCATATTTATATTTTAAGAATATGAATTTTATTATGTTGTATATAAATATACTGAGTAACACTTTTTTACTTAAAATATTAGACAAGCGTTTCTGATCTGTATTGCGTGTTAAAAGTTAAAATGTAAAACAATTTAAAAAACCGCTGCCAAATCATAGATACGAAACTTTTTCAATATTTTGGTTATACCT